TTAAAAAAAAATCAATTAAAAGAATATTAGTATAAAAAGAAATTAAGGATCTACAACCTGATATTTTAAATCGCCAAAACAAACATAGCTGATCAGCTGTAATTAACATATATACTTTCAATCCAAAAGTTGTGAGTTCGATCCCCGTCATGTTGTACTAAAAAAAATGACATTTTAAATCAATAACACATAAAATCTCGTTATTTTGAAATTTTATAAAATATTATATATGTTTACAATTTTATTTTGGTCTCTAAACTTTCGGTAAATATTTTATTCTAGTATTGGAATTTGGTATAAAAATTATTTTTATCTTTATGGTTAACTCCTAGTGCTTTTAATTTTGACACAACACATCATATGAATTTGTATTGTTACAGGATCTAGCTAACCTTTCAAATTTAGTCAATCCAAATGTAGTTAAAGAAGATACACAGACGATTCCTTATAAACAAGTGGGAAGATTTGAACCCTATCTTAAATTAATCGATCCAATGGTCTTAAATATGGTATGGTAGAAAGAGAAATAAGAAAAAATAAATAAATAAGATATTCATGGATGGAGTTCAAATCTACCACTACCACTTGGTGTACTAAAAAAATGTAACTTATCTTAAAAAGGGTTATTTTTCTTCGCCATGAAAATATGGATTTTTTAAAAGAAAAAAAGCTTAATTTTTTTACTCTACTTCAATTTTGTTTTAGCGAGGGGATCTCCTCTTATCTAAAATTTTAAATTTCATTATCCAAACTTTACAACTTTATTCATTGAATAAAGGAGTACTTATTACCATTTCAAAAGTTAATAGCTCAATCTTCCTATCCCGTTGAACTAGAAACAAATTAGTATAAATCAATATTCTTCACAAAACTAACGTAAAAAGTTACCCACATAAATTTCTGAACAAATTTTGTAAAATAAAGCTAACAATACACATCCAAATTGTCTTAGAAAATAACTAATGACTACTGAAGGAGAAAATTGGATTAATTATTACATGTCATGTCACAGATTTAAAATTATATTTAGGATTAATCAAAATTTATACGTATTCTAAATTAATTTTAGATTGGTGAATCAAGGTATGACACGTGTCTCTCACAGTCCAATGAAATCAACTAATTGGATCAAACTCATAGAGATTGGGTTCAAATCCATAGCTCATATAAGATCCGCCAAAACTCTATAAATAAATGGGGTCACCTCTCATTCGCACATGGTAAGAAATCTACAAGAATTGGAGATTCAAAGCCACCGAAACATTAGGAGTTATCTACAATCATTGAGAGTCAAGCGAAGTATCCAAAGCCACTTGAAAATTTTGATACTTGAAAACTACGAGACTTCAAAACTTGAAATCAAAGATTCCATCAAGCTGCAAATTCTTCATCAAGCTTCAAAGCCAACGAACATCAACAAGCGGCAAAGCCAAAGAACTTCAAAAGCTACAAGCCGAAAAAGTTCAAAAATTACAAGCCGAAGAACCTCAACAAGCTACAAAGCTGAAAAACTTCAATAAGCTGCAAAACAGAAGAACTTCACAAGCTCAAAGTCAAAGACTTCAATTATTCTTCAAACAAGTTCCAAGTCTAGGATTCCAAAGATCCTTCAACAAAGCTAAAGACACAAACTCATTGATTCAAGAACCAAGCTGACAAGCCCTTGAATTAAAGTTTACATTTGATAGAATTAATCAGAGGATTATACGTTAGAGATCGTACACTACACATACATAAATACAAACACAGGTTCATTAATACTAGTTTTCTCTTCCTTGAATTTCTCGTCGAACAATGACATATAAGTGATTTTGGTACGCACACCCAAATAAACAACATGCAAGTAACTTTAGAAAATAGCTATGCCTAAATCACCTTCCAAACATAACCTCAAACGTTAAATCTAAATCCAAACACAAAATTGAGCAACAAAAAAACACACTCAAACTAGCGCAAGAAAACGTCTAAATTTAGTTAGAAAAAAATGTCTTACATAACTGGGAAAACTCATATTGATGACAAAAAAACTAATATAATTAAATTTCACCACAATCCAGAAATACTAAAAAAAACCCCCAGAATCTAGAATTTGTAAATAATCGTAATTTAAGTAACAACCTAGCACTGGAAATTGATAATTATTTATTTAATTTGAGACTTTTAAAAAGTTACCCTATTAATTTGACCAAACAGACCCATTCAGTGACCCAGCCTTCTACAAATAGGATAGTTCCAATCTTCAAATATCTCTATAATTGTTAATAGCCATTTTTTTTGTATAACGGGTGGGCTAGAGATCGAACTTACAACCTGTTTAGCTAGTTATGCTCGTTTTGACTCAAATATTTTAATAATTAAGAAGACGTCTTTGTAGAGAAACGTTTGATAAACGATAATAAAACCAAAAAACATATGAGAATGTCAATCTGAATATGACTTAACTCGTTAAAATATATTTTTTTCGATTAAAGTCGAATTTTCGAATCTCCAACTCTAGAATATAACGAACAAAAAATGCCAAATTGACATCACTCTTTTCCATTCAGGTATGACAACCCTTTTTCCGATATCACATTACTTTTTTTCTTTTTCTTTTTCTTTTTTTTTTTTTGAAATTTGTCACTGTTCTTATATTCAATTTGAACAACGCTATTAAGTGGGGACCTGTGTTGAAAAAATTATGATACATTTTAAAGTAATTAAAATCGAAACTAAATTTAGAATCAAAACAGAAATACTAAAAAATATAAAAAGAACAAACAAATCCAATTGAGATAAGTTAAAAAAATTTAACCTATTTTTCAATATAAAACTCTCTGACAAGTGACACGTGTCACACTTTTGGCTAGAAAGAGCCATTACATTCATTTTGTCAAACTTAATTAAGTTCTTCAACATTTGGGACATGCTAACTAATGGCATTAATTAAATTAATTTCTCTTTCCAAAGTTTTGATCTTTTAAGATTGAGTCAAAAAGAAACAACCAACAACTTTCAGACTAATGAATTTGTCCAAAATTTCAAAAGAGATATGAAAATGAAATTAAATTATCCAATAATATCACAATTCTAGAATATTTTGCCAAAATTAAAGAACCTTCTTGTGACAGCTATATAACTTCTTTTAAGAAATTGTAGGACAACAAATTTGGCAAAGGAAACATTCAAAAAGATATTTAAGAATTTTCATACATTCAGAAACTTGTGAGAGTTAATTATATGAAATTAAAGGTTTTTTGTTTTTTCCCCTTTTTTTTTTAGCATATTGTGATTGGGGAAGGACTTGGCTTTTTTTTTCCACTAAATATAAAGGTTAATTAGTTTATAGTATTTATGATATTTTTCAATCTCGTCTCTATTCCTTAAAGATTTTAAATTTTACCGTTTTAATGTAACAATTATTTTAATTAGATCATAATTTTATGGAAAAAAGAAATTAATTAAAGTGTGGTAATAAGTATGATGTAACATTTAAAATCAATGTTATCTAACTATCTATTAAATGGTTGGAGAATACTTTATGAATAATTTAAACAACGTAAAAAGAAAAATAAAATTTACCGCCAAAGCAAGCATAGCTCATGGATAATTGGCATATACTTCCAATCCTGGGGGGTTGTGAGTTCAAAATCATCTCGTTTTTTATCAATTCATTTTTTATTTTATAACTCATTTTTTTCCACAATTCATTACGGTATATAATTATTTAATGACATATAAATTTAAAGTGAGTTGTGAATTTGAACATAATTCAACTTATTAATGCTTTATATATTTATTTGAATCTTCACTCTCTCGCAAACTTAAGTGGGTCAATTGATAAAAAAGAAATATAAAATGTATTAGATACATCATTGAACAGAAAATGAAAACGAACCAAAAAAAACTAATTATATGAATATAGTGGTTGAAATTAAACCCTAATTTGAAACCTAATAACGTCTGAAAAAAATCAAACTTTTGATGAAAACTTTAAACCAACTCAATTTGACTTTATCCATTCCATTCATCACTATTATCATAATAATCAGTGGATAATTTTAAGAAAATTAATGGAATTAAACCATCACACAATTACTAATTATTGTCAAAGCGAGCAATAACTCAGCAGTAATTGACATATGTCTCCAATCAAGAGGTTGTGAGTTTGATCCCACATCCTCACACATTGTAAAAAAAGAATATTACTAGTTATTGATTATTGACTGCAAATAAAGTACTTAATTAATCAAATTTTATTCTGTTAAAAAAAATCAAATTTTATTAGTACCACCTTTTTCTTTTTATTTAACTACAATTTAAATACATGGGAATTAAAACTATGAGTTTTTAGAGAAAACTAATAACCAATATCTAAATGCATTGAGTTATATTTAAGTCTATAATATATATTTTTTGTCAAAGCGAACGGTAATTGACATATACCTCCAACTAAAAAGTCGTGAATTCGATTCCCCTCCTCAACATGTTGTAAAAAAAAATCTATAATATATTTTTACTCATTCACATAATGTATTGATATCACAAAGCATGAGTAACGGAGTAAATTTTTTATATTCATAGACATTATAATTAGATACATAACTCATTTCAATTTAATTCTTTAAACCTTCAATAAAAATACTCTCAAATTCACCATCTCATGATTTAATTCAACATTAATATCTCACAATAACTCATTTGATAAGATCACATTATTATAACAACAATGATATATATATATAGTACCCTAAGAGGGTGAAGATATGGGGATGGTTAATTTTGTATTACCCCAAGTAATTAAAGGTCAAGATAGGGTTTGGTTTTGGATTATCTCCAAGTAATTAATTAATTAATATTGGATTATCTTAAGAAATGGTCAATTATTTATTGTGTTGAAACAAAGATTACTTGTGGTTTTTTCTCAACCAAAACACTTGCTCTTTGACTAAACCCAAAAACTCATTCATCACCCAACACCTAACACATCCCCAAATCCCTCTATAAATTGGTAGTGATAATGTAATGTTTAAGCACCAATAACCCTAATTAACAAAGCAAAATACTTGCATTTCCAACTGAGCTTTGTTAATTACCAAAAATGGCCTACTCTAAGACGACCCTCCTTCTCGGCCTCCTCCTCGCTCTTCTTTTCGTCTCCTCTCATGTCTCTGCACGTCTACTCGGTATATGTCTATCTAATTATTTGTTAAGAATCATAACACTAAAAATGTGCTTTCGTGTATTAGTTTCTTAGTATGCTGGTGATTTAGCGTGAGGCATGGGAGACTATGAATTAATTTAAACTTCTCCATCGTTATTATAATTTACATGTTATATCTTGTGTTAATATTGAAGCTGACTTAGTTTGAATGGTAGAATTTAAACTAATTTTATAATTATATAATAATTTTTTGTGAATATTATTTTAAAACTAGGATGACCATTTACGAAATTCTTAAATTAATTTAAATTTATTCAATTAATCTTTTAGGTCTAGCTAACCCTGATTTTAACATAATTTTATTTGAACTCTTTTGCTTCATTCATTTTATATTGCAGCGGAAAAGAAAGGTTCTGTAGAGGGTGATGATCATCACCATGACCATGATCACGACCATGGACACCATGACCACGACCACGATCATGGGCACCATGACCACGACCACGACCACCATGGTGGCCATCACCATGATGCAGACATTGATAGCTTGGATGATCACCATGGACACCACGGCGGAGGACACGGTGGACACCACGGCGGTGGACACGGCCATGATGCTGACATTGATAGCTTGGATGATCATCATGGACACCACGACCATGGACACCACGACCACGATTCTAAAACCGATGGCGTTAAGAATTAGACCTAAAACCAGCACCCCTGTCTACTGCGCATGGTTGGTAATAATAAGAGTAGTGTAACGAAATGAAATAAAAAGTATGTTTTGTGTGTGTTTATTAATTTAAATAAAGCAAAGATATGTTGTTGTATGAAATGCTAAACTTTCATGCTTTGTTTGGTTTGTAGTAATTTCTGATCCTTGTGGATTATATATATATGGAATATTTAAGACTATAAAAAGTAATACTTGCTTTAATATGCCGTTGGTCTCAAAATTTTAGTGCTTTCCTTTTTAATTTGCATTTCAAATCAAAATTAAAATCAAAATTGTTGACAAATTAACGATTCTGTATAATTTCCTCTTCCACATAAAAATATTCACACACAACCACAATATGCAAATAAAGAATAAAGAAACTTGTAAAGAACAAGAAAACGACACAGCAAAATTATAATGGTTCATCACTAAGGAGTTATGTCCAGTCTTTCACTCAAAATGTAGGTAATTCACTAATACTTGTTTAAGGGTTGGAATACAAAACTCTCCTAAAAAATATCATTATTTGGCAATTTTACGTCCCAACAAAAGTCTCCTAGTTTCTAAGCAATCTAATACGATTACTTAAGAACGGGAATGAAAAACTCATTGCTGTCAACAATCCCTAGCCGCTGCCACGAAAAAGTGCGGCCATAGAACCCCAATTCAGCTGCCCCTACAATTCTGACAGCTACCTCCATAAAAATATAATTATTTGGCGATTTTTAAAAAAGGGAAATGTATAAAATTGAGAAACATTTGGTCGGCTTCCCATTTTGGGCCTAAACTCAGGCAAGAAGCCCAAGCAACTAACCATGAACCTAAAAATAAAGGTTTGGGCTTTTGGCCCATTATTTGTTTTCACGCCTTCTTTTTTATTTATTTATTTTATTTGGTATCCAAAAATCCGAACAAAAATTCCCTCTCATTTCAATTCTTTTTTTTTATATATATATAGTATTACAATTCATATAAAGGTGAAAAATTAAACTTACGATGTTTGTCTTGACTCGTTGAACTATACTCAAAATTTTCCCTAACTTAATAACAATAATGATTTAGAAGTTAAACTTTCTTGTATTTGAACAAAAGAATGGATTCTTTTTTATCTCAATCTATTTGAGTAATATATAACTTATATTAAACTTTAAACTAGAATAAATTGTGAATTTATTAATAAATTAGTATGAATTTGAAGTGCTATTTTCAGTCTCATGGTTTATAATACATTATTGAATATTAGTTCTTATTAAAAAAAATTGCTTTTTGCAAAAAATCAAACCCCTAAAACAATTCTAAGCATCCAATCATCACATTATCAATTTTAGTTTGATTTGGATGTTTCCAAATCTCCAAACCCACTCAATTCAAATCAATCCATGGACATGTCTTAGTTGAAAAAAAAATAAAAATATAATTATTTGACAATTTAAAAAAAGGGAAATGTATAAAATTGAGAAATATTTTGTGGGCTACCCATTTTGGGCCTAAACTCAGGCAAGAAGCCCAAGAAACTACCCATAATGAATTTAATTCAGAAAGAATATTTTAAAAACAAAAAAAAAACAAAAAACAATTAACAATTAACAATTTTATGTCTATGGATTTAGGGTAAATTTATCTCAAAAATTCATCGTATAATCTACTCTTCTAAAGTATTCACAATTATTTTTTTTATTAAAAATTATTAACATTTGATTAACTTGCCATCGTTTTGATCCTTTTGCGTTAATCATTAGTTTAAATAATTCATGATTGCATAGATTTTTTTTTAAGAATACGGAAAAAGAAAATATAAGAATATAGTTGGTTAAAAAACACTTTTGGCCCCTCAATAAGAATAATTCATGTACTTTCCATAAAGTAACAATTTAGTCCCTAGTCCCTATCGTAAATAACTTTTATTAAAATTAAGTGTCAAATTTTATCATATAACAATTTAATCTTTCTAATTCCTAAACATATTTGGTCCCTCTCTAGTTTACCAATCCATACATACAAGAAATTTAACAAAAACATTTCACAACAAGGATTAAATCATTACCAACTTTAAATTACAAGAACTACATTGTTATATATTAAAGTTCAAGAATTAAATTATTATTAATTTGAAAATACAGGGAATTGTTAATTTAGCGATTGGAGACCTTGAACCTAGTTAAAATGATAATTGGTAAAGCCAGTAGTATCTTTCTTGACGAGTGGTAGATTTAAATCTTTTTTCTTTATTTTTAAAAATTATAATATTTTTAAAAGAAATTTATATCTTTTTTTGGCACTAGATTTATTGCCACTCCGGATGATGTGGACGGTGTTACAAATAGGTGAAATTGACATCTTTTTCTATAGCAATGGATTTTGTCGTTGACAAATACTTCACAAAACTTTATTTTCAAAAATTAAAACAAAATCAATTTATCTACATATACACACCTTCATTATAGACTAAAAGTTGAATTAATTTTGTTTGAACCCAAAAGTAAAGATCTAAATATTAATTTTTTACATGCAAAAATTTTGTTGGAAGTGTCACAAGGTGTAGATTTGGAAACATATAGAAGAAAATGACAATTTTGTAAATATTTACTTCTTTTTCTTTTTACAATTTCTATTAATTGGATTACCAATGAGTTTTAATAGGCTCGTAAACTTCTTTCCAATAATTTGAACCCACGAACAATTCATGAACTTTTATAGTCAATGTGAGCCCGATTCAAAACCTTCATCATACATTTGTTCGAAATTGATTTTATATCATAAAGTATATGGAACATTATTACTTCGAAGTTATTTTAAGGGAAAAAGAAAGGTTACTCGAAGGTTCTATTTTTCATTTTAAAAATTATTTTTGTTCATATCGAGAAAATATGTATTTTTCTTATGTGTGACAATTTTCTAAATATATCAATGATGAATGCACAACAACCAATCAAATGAATGAACTGGAATGAGCTCCACAATCACAATCTTGTCTATTCTAAAAGAAAAAGTACAATCATGACTTATTAGAGAACCCCATTTTGGATCTCCCAGTCTCAATTATTATTCTTATTATTTCTTCGTCAATAAGGTGAAAGATCGAAACCTTCAACTTATAAACAAAGGTACTAATGCTTTAACCGACCTGGTTCATGCCAGCCCAACTTTTTTTCGTCCTTATAAGCTAATATTTAGATTGACCTCAACTCTAAATTATTCAAAATTAAAAAGTTAATCAACTCGTCTATGACCTTAAACAAAATCAGAGCAGTTAAATATTTTTAGAAAAAACTTACTAGTGAACCCTCATTTTTATGATACCATTAAATTTTTGATAAATACGAAGGAGATACTTGACAAGTACGAAGGAGAAATACAAAATATATGGATAACCAACATAGGAAGCTAGCTTGCTTCCACTGGTGGCAAGTGAAGGGTCCAACGGACACGTAGTCAGGAGCGAGTCAAAAATCGGTAAGCTCCATTTTCCTAGCGCTTGTTTAAGACGGTACTAGGACTTACCTTGAGACAGTCAACACGAAGATAGGTGGTGACCAATAAACATCTAAACAGTGTTCTTACATACATACGTATGTACCTACATAACATTCAACATGTATTATTTTTGCTAATATAAAAACAGCTCAACAGTAATTGGCATGTATTCCTTTCGAGATCGGAGATTTGATCTCCCATCTTTCCAGATTGTTTTACTCAAAAGAAAAAAACATTGTTTTCAGATTAAATTTTATAATTTATGGCTCTACATATAAGAATTCCACAGTGAAAAAAGTGTCCCAACATGAGATTTTCCCTCTTTTCAAAGCTCGAGAAGCTTACACCAATTGGACTGGACACTAAATCAAACATTTCCACATTAAATATAAAGAGAAGAAAGAGCCAAACGGTGCGTACCCCTTCTTCACAAACAATGCCTTCTTCTTTCCTTTTTGCATAGAAAACAAAGAATGTGCAAAGGCTTAGCCAGTCACATGGCCCAACATCACCGACCCCTATTAAAAACCAGCAGCAGCAGTATCATCTGTGGGCCACAGGAATCTTATAATGTTAAATCCTGGAAACAGCTAAAATAGATTTGTGCACTCCAATAAAGCTACACACCCACAAGCACAAACACAGTTTCCTACATGCACTGGAGAAAATATTTGAAAACAAACTACTACTATTGAAGATTCTTGGAACTTGGAAAGCATCCCACTACTAGTACCAAAACAAGCAGATCCAAACACCGGATTTTGGCAATATGTTGCAGTTTTTGCAGAGAATCCAAGGTTTTCAAATAAGGGATGAAATGTAAACAACGGTTAAATGGAAGATGGAGTGTTAAATATGAGAAACTGTCTACCTTTCATATATGATTTTATAATAATTATTGCTATTTACATGTTCATGCCATGTCTGGTTCTGTTGCTCAACAGCTAGACCATCCCTCTGTCACTGACCCTATAATAATATTAACAAAATTGATGGGATGGTTTTCAGTCAAGATAAATAAGAACACAATTATAATAATCTAAAATTGTTCCTTGCACTTTCAGTCCACGCGGTTTCTCTTCCAAAATTGCCAGAAAATTTGCACTTACTCGTCTGATTGCCTGTCTAGGTAGGATGTTTGCTTGCCACTCCGTCACAATATGCGCAGCATCAACTTGGCCATTTTTGTTAAATCGAGGTATAATAAATTGTTATATCATGGCTGAGCTTGATCTTTGAGCTGATGAAGGGGCCAACGCCAATACTATGAATTATTGGTTGGTGCCTGTGCAACCTGTGGTCTTTGGTAAAAGTTAATATACTGTTGTTCCCATAAAGAAATGATCATTGTGAGAGATAGACCCGGCACTGGATTGCAGTTTTACCAATCATGAAGCCAGGGATGACAGTGAATGCTACAACTGGGTCCGAATCTGGTGAAAGGTACACCTCATCAATGACGCTTTCCATGTAGACCTCTGAGAATCGACAACCTTTACGCACTTGAAAAATGGAGGCCTCCGGCTCAATGGAATAAGCTAATGAATGTAGGAGCCACACCCACCTTGCCATCTCTGCAAACGTGCCAAAGAAAGTGGTATCTGGGAATTGACCGGAGCTTATAAGGCTTCTCTGGTCCAAATTACCAAATAGTGATGATTCCATTTTGGGGTGAATGAGCCGCAAGAACTTAACCCGACAAAACTTGGCAAATGTCGATCTAGGATTTTGTGAGAGAAAATCCTTGGCTTTTCTGAGCTTCAGCTCCATAAATCTTGCAAAGAAAAACTGTTTCTGTTTCCTTTTTTCGGGCAAGGATTCATTTGGAAGAGAAAAATTGAGTTTGTGGAAGGAATCAAACATTTCCCTGAAAACAAATGTTTCGAATGCAAAGCATCTATGATCATCGTTCCAATAAACAGCATCTGGTTCAATTTCCATTGCAGCTGCATTAACATCCCAACCAGCAGATTTCATTTCATCCACCATCATCCGGACAAAACTCCGAACGGACTTCACTGTATGCCCAAGAACTTTAATGAAATGGCTCGCATTTACTCCTGATAAGTGAATATCACCAGGGACAGAAATTGATCCACTTTGATTTAAACTTTTCTCAAGTAACCTATTCTGTTTTTTAATTTCCTCGATCTTCTCTCTAAGAAACGTAATTTCAGAGCCCTTCAATCTTGCTTGCGATTCCAATCTTTTCCCCATTATGTCATATGTTCCCACAAGACTCTTTTGCTCCTGAATTTCAGCCAAGAGCATTGTGGTCTCTGGTGAAGGATCGAACTGTCTTTTAAGGTAACACTGCTTCAATTCAGACAAAGCTTTCAATTCTGAGACAACATAGTGATCAGCATCTTGAATACCTTCCGCATCATAAGGAGATTGAGAATACTGTAACTGGGCATATGCAGCTTTGACTGATGAGATGCTTGCAAACAATTTTGCCAGCAATGCTTGCAATTGGACTCTATTCTGGAACTCTTCTTCACCACTATCAAAAGACTCAGATTGACTACCTGTACTCTTACTTGCTGTGCAGTCATCACTGATCTTATCTTGTGGCTTAACTTTATGAATTCCGTGAACAGGTGCTATCCCAGTTAAAGCTCGAATATGAAGAACTTTGGTAATAGTGCGTGCCAATTTACTCTTACTTGGAGTGAGAGTAGAGGATTTAACAGAATCCATCTTGGAGCAGGAAAATGGCAGGAATGATTGAAGATGTCCAATTCACCGTCTGAAAAGTAAGAATGATAAACACATTAGTAAGAAATTCATGTGTTCGCCTAACCATTAACATTTAAATTACTGGTATAACATAATATGCACCATTAAGACCCCCAATCCTCAGGTTTTGAAATACCAAGATAGTAGATTTAATTCTAAGATACATGCTCGAAAAATGTGCTTAAAGGCTTTTCTGACAAGTTTAAATGAACAACGTTGCAAACAAACCATGTCTCTTGAATGATATCATGTCATGTGATACCCAATGAGAGATTAGAGCAACAAAAATAAAAGCCGGCAGCCAACAGAGAAGTACAAAAGTGTACTTTTATATTTCCCATTCCCACCCTACCAAAACCAAGCACCATTAATCTAACCAACAATCAGATAAAGTCACAAACTTAATAAAATACATAAAACTACATGTGCAAAAAGCTGTATGGAGTTATTAGTTTAATACACAAATTCCTATTGTGCGATCCTAATATTCTGTTTCTGCTACATCAGGCAGAGTCTATAGTTAGAGATCTCAGCAGTTTGGGGGAAAATGTAACTCATAAACAGGACAATGAACTAAACCAAACACTCGCTAGTGAAAGCAAGCTCTAGCTGATTATATGGAAAAGAAGAGAATGCTGGTGAGGTTTCAAAATTTTCACACAGATTTATAAGAAAGCCCTAATTGTCCAGAAGATCTAACAAAAAGCCAGCGTACAACAGCTATCAATATCGAATTCAAGTTCTTTTATATAATTATTCACCTGCACATTAGAATATTTAATGAGAAATTAAACAAATCGCCAATTAATATCCAGTCACCACTAGGCACGTATATACCCACAACAGAACAAACCACAGAAGACAGAATACCTCGCAGTTGCAGGAGACGACCATAGGCGCTATCTAATCGTGGACATAAAAAAATGGGTAAATAAAGCACTTCAATTCCTCCATTATTTTGTGTTACTATTAATAGAAGAGCCTAGAAATAGCAGAGCCTTTAATCAATAACTCAACCTACTTTAATAACTTCAACCCTACTCAGAAGAATCTCGAAGTTCCTTTTAGAAAGCCTACATTTCGATGCACGTATAGCTCCCCCAAAAAGAAAAAAAATCAAACGTGAAAACTGAAACGGGGTTCAATACTAAAGATAGGGGAAACAAAGAGACAGGGAAATGTGTGGTGAGATCCACGATATTCTTTTCTTTTACTAAATCGCATTTCCTAAGGCAGCAAATGGGAATCACCTCGTGAAGTCCTTCCGGTAACACCATGCTCGTGCAAGCATCGGGAAAAACCAACCAAACAGGGTAATAAAAGAAACAAATTAGTTTGTTTGTCTGTTTGTTTACGGTACCTCGATGAATCGCCCAAGAAACCGCGGCGAGTCCAGTCAGTCAACCAGTCATCGCCCAACGTAAATCTCAAGGAAAAAACGGGACTATACAAGACGCCGTGAGAAATACCCCTAAGGAGCTAGACCTCGGCGACCCGCTAAGTCTGCAGTAAGAAAGACGAAAGGTGAGTTCAAACTGTTTTCAATCAGCGTAATGACCATACAAACAGCAAACGCCTTGTTGAAAATGCGATGAGGCATTCACATTATAACCTAAAGATTTCGACATTGCGCCTCGTATCCGCCAACTCCATTTGCTAACATAATGAATGCTGCCACATCCGAGCATGGCCTTTCCTCCATTAAAATGAGCAAGTAGACAGCGAAAGAACACCAAACATTACAAATTTAAGCAAAGAAAATGCACCTTCAGCTCATGAAGAAACCGAATGAGTTACTCCAATGGCGCAGACCCTTCACTTTCCTCGAAGCGCCTCGCTCTTCGTAGCTCAGAAACACGCCTAGTGAAAACTCGAGATCGATGAACGGCTCTCCTCTGTGTCTCTGTCCCGCCGCTTCGAAGAAAACAAAATTCTAGAGAGAGAGAGGGAAGAAATTCAGAGCTCGAGGAGAGAGGAAGCGGAGGGAAGGGACAGAGAAATACAGGGAGAGGGAGGGGAAGGGAAGGGAAGAGGGGTTATGGTGAAAAGACGAAAAAGGGCATGAGTTTTGAGGTGAAAAGACGGAAAAGAACAGTGTTGGGACGAGTCCGACACAAGGGCACTGGGGAATTTAAAAGCGCTAGAAGAGGCAACTTTCGGGATTTCCATCGGACGGGAATACCCTTAACCATTTGAGGAAATTGCTCGTCCGTTGTGAATGTGGAGCCCGGGAGTGGAGGGGCAATTCGGGAAGGCGGGGGGAAAGTTTTTGATGCGTGATCTGGGCGATCTGACGTTGGAAGAGAAACTTTAGAGGAAAAGCTGATGGTCCATTGCGATGAAGGGGTGCGATCGAGTGTGGACATTAGGACGTAAAAAGGGTGTGAGTGGATACGTCAAACACGTGGTTATCTCTGACAAAGTGGGCCCCGCTTCAGCCGAAATCTTTCCAAATAATTTCTACTGACATTGGATTTTACCCATTCGACCGTTTTCTGCATGTCAGATTTGTAATTTCTTGAGGTGTAAATCATAGGTTTAATTTACATGATGTCCAAACTTTAGGTTAAATAAATAACACATTGTTAGCTTTTCTTTTTTTTTTCTTGGCTACATTGCCAATTTATTGTTTAGATGTTTTAATTTTGTTAAACTTTACCAATCATTTATAAATTATTTATTTTTCCTAAACTTTAAAGGATCAAATTTAAGCTCAAATAATAACTAATAAGAAACACATTCAAATTCTTAAGAGGGATTTAATAGAAATTTATACGGACTAAATTGAAAATTTAACAATCTATTTAACTTCTTAAACTTTTATTTATTATATTTTTTGTCGTTGGTAGAATATAGTATGATAACTCTAGAGTGAGAATATGAACTTTCAATCTATAACGAAGTTTACTACATACGACTTAGTGTGTAATGGAGTAGTAAGTGAATCACGTTTAATTTTGATCTATAGGAGGTTCATCGATTTTATTTAACATATTCAAATAAATTCATCGATTTTATTTAACCTATTCAAATTTTTCATATATATATATAAATATATATATTATTTAACCATATTTTTTTAATGAAGTTATTTAGTAGCAAACTTAATCTTCACATTATTTGGAGTTTAAGAAGTGCATCATTACAATTAATCAGCGACTAAGACATAATAAGAATCCAAATACTTATAAATATTTTTTATATTTAAAAAATAATTATTTAGTTTGAGATGGATTAGTAAAGTTTGAGAATATGTTTAGTGTATATATATTTTTTTTTCGTGTTATAGTTTACTTTTTCTTTATATGAAATAAAATTTTTGAAATCCTTCTCTCAACCTATTAAATTAGCAAATTAGAGGCATAAAATCAGAATGGCTAAAATTATAATAACAAAATCAACACTAACATGAAAAAAAATAGGGATTGTAAATATAATTTAATATAAAACCTATAGTATTGTATGTACCATAAAAGTTAATGGAAAGTTATATATTATTATCTATAATTTAAATATCATCATTTCTGCTTATATTATTATCATCATCATCACTATGATTGTGGGGAGGGTTCTCTAGCTAACTCTAAAAGTACATAAGAATCTATAGAGCCTTTATATTATATTTATGTTACAAACTTTTTCATTCACTCTTTTTATCACTTCTTTTGTAATTGAAAAAGTTTGGTTCACTACTCATGATATCATTGAAGGGTCAAATGTTACATGCCACGTGGAGAGCTCAGAAAGATCGGTTAGTCATAAACTGTCTCTATTATCTAGAGATACATAGTGGCAGATCTATGAAACTCGACCAACAATAACCATATAGCTCCGCCAAATCACTGTTAGTTGATGGAAAATTATATGCTGAGGTTAGATGTTCAACGGTCTATAATTGCATAACAAATTCTAGAACGATTTATCATATTTATTGTACTAAAAAAAATTGATGATAATAATTAGTCAATTTTATTCTTTTGAAGTACTTGTTGGTTTTTTTTAATCCACGATTGTATATATGTTTGATTGACCTTTACAAAACTCGAGAAGCAACCTTACAAAACCATAAAACCATAAGGTACGGAGGATATTGAGTAAAATCTCTCTTAGACCTCTAATTTCAATAGAAATTAAACTTTTCTCAATCAAAGCACAAAATCAACCATGGAATTAATCTTGCAAACTCACAAATTTCAACCAAAGCCCCAACTCCATATTATTCTTCTTATCTAAAGTTGCATCAACTAAATATATATATATTTTAATTCATTAAAGGTGAGAATACTCTTTAATGATTTTTCGAATCAAAGTCAAAGGTAAAAATTATAACATTCGTCTAAGTTTAAGATCTAACTCGATAAAACTAAAAGTTTTACAAGGTAGAAATTTATACACTTTCACCATAAAGAATGTTAACCTTTTTCCAAACAACGCGAATTAGAAAATGAGTAAAAAACACTCGAAAGAAAGACACATCTCTTAATTGTAGGTCCGCATCGTTTATATTTGTATCTTAGAAAATATCTATATTTTTCATGGAAGAATCATTTTCATGGAATTGACCTTTCACCAATTCCTCTTTGAACATCCTTTTTTTAGGCCATGAAACACGATGGACTAATTGTTTCGTTTTCTTATGTTGATGTGACTGCAAATAAGGAGCAAATGTGACTACTATAATTAAATCCTCCTTTTAACATATGACAAAACCTCTTCCTAAATACTTGGATCCTTTCACAACTGTGTGATGGAACTCGTTTTTAAGGAGACCTTTCATTGTTTCCGCTCGGGGACCCACATTTAATCCTCGATTGGCCTCAGTATTCGGTCAAATTGGAGACTTCCCAACCCGATCGTTTGCTTGTATTTTCATTTGCTATTACGAAGAGAGTTATGTCCAAAAAACATATAAATTGTATTGTGGTTATTATATTGGACATTATTCACTCTCTTTAACCTGACGTTATCTCTATTGTGTTTTACCAAATTTTTTAACTATTTAATATTATTTTGGTCAATGTAATTTTCGAAACAACTATTTTGATTCATCCCTTAGTTTTTTTTTTCTGTCCATTTTAGTTTTTGCCTGGTATGTTTGGTGCATGTACTTGATAATCATTTTGGTCTATATACATGTTTTAGAAATTCTAACAAAAATTTTATATACGGGAACCCTTATTGTAATATTTCAAGAAATTTATTGAAAGACGTTTTATGTTAACATCACAATTGAATAAATTAAAGAAAAAAAGATATGTAAACGTTGACTCTTTAGAATAACATGAATCAAAATAAATATTTTAGAAATAAAAGGCGGAAAATACATGTACTAAAATATAACGAGAATTTTTTTTTCTTTTATAACTAAGTAACCACAAAAAAAGAGGAATCATTATTATTTATTTTATCTACTAGATTATATTCGTTCCGGTAAAACAAGATAAAAAGATCAAATGGCAAATTGCAATAATAATAATAATAATAATTTTTTTACGGAGGATAATAATTATAATATTATTTTAATGCAAGCAGACTCTGTGGTGGGGTCGCAGTAGAGTGGTGGCTTGCCATTTTGGGTGGCTCTAGAATGATGATAATTATTTAACCGTTTATTAAAACAAAATAATTAATCTAACCTAATTTAATTAAATGCTTATTTGATATTTAAGCCTGAAAATTCACCCTGTTTTTTAAATATTAAATATTCAAAATACAAAATTAATTATGATATATCCAAATGATAAAAAGGAACATGTGGATGTACTATATTATAATTGAGATCTTTTTTACTTTTTTTTTTTCAAAAAGAAATATGAACAAATAATCGTAAAAACGAAAACAAATCATTTTATTATGAGTGAAAATAGGATAGGTTAAAGATGAATAAACCAACCGGCTTAACTTTTACCGAAACCAGTGAATTTTGGTAGATTTTCATTTTTTTTTTAGTATAATAGAGGTGAGATTGAAACACGCGACCTTTAGGTCAGCTACCTTAACCAGTTGAGTTAGGCTCAAGTTTTGAAAAAATCATGGATTTTATATTTAATCTTCGTAAAAAACCTTATTACAATTAACTTAATCATTTATTTTAAGTTCATAAATTAAATAGACAATTTTTTTTACATGGAGATAGTGGATTGAATAACCTCCGACCTTTAGAGAATGAACAAGATGTCTTAACCATTGAGATAAACACGTGAGTATTTTTAGATAGATCTTGAAAATTTACGAGAATATAGTTCATCTACTTTTCATTTTGATTTGTTTTGGTCCTTATATTAAAAGTGACTAATTTAGTCTTTATTTGCAAAATTTTATACAAAATAAAAATCGTTTAATACAAAATTATGGCTAATTATGCCAAAATAGAAATTCAGCAACATGGGATGGGGTGGGGATAAGAAAAATAGGGCCAGGAAGAATTCTCATCTTACTACATTGTTTAAACTTCATATATTTCACAAAAGCAACTCTCTTATCTTACTGCATTGTTTTCTTTCTATTGTTTTTTAGTTCCCAGCACAAGCAAAAGCATCATAAGCAAAGAAAAAAACTCAAACAGCACACATAAAGCTCCAAACTGAAACCTCTATCTTTAATCTGTGTTTAAAGTTTTCCCCTCCTAAATTTTCATCACTACCCCCATGCCGATATCGAAAAAGTAAAAATAAATGACACATACACACCGTCTATCATTCATCATGATCTATATTGCATCGACTGTACACCATTTTTAAATGCATCTCATAGGTATTATTCAGCATCTATCTCATGCCAACGTTTGACTAACAATAGAGAGAAATATCGAAAGAGAGAGATTTGGCATGTTCTTCGAAATATAAAGAGCTGTGTTGGTGTAAAGGCAAGGATTGTTCAACCATAAGTATCATTTCAAAGGTGCAAAATTTTAAATTTTCCAGTACAGCTCATTTACAGGGTGGTGCCTATCTTCTAAGATTAGAATTTAGAGTGAAGCTGAACAGAATATACTAAGTTCATCTACAAGCAAAGCTAACTCAGCATCCTACTTTAACCTTCTACATCATCCAGAGCAGGTTCCCAGTAAGCTTTGACCCACCATGGAGCTGAATTGATATCAAGAAAATACACAGTAGTTCAAGTGGATGTGAGATCAAACACGGCGCTCCAGCCCGGTGCAACGGCGCTTTGACATTTAACCAGAGATCTCCATCCATCCATCCATCCTCAATCTGTTGTAACAAAATTGTCCACCTTCATTAGTCATGGCACCAGAGAGTGGAAAATGAAAGGGTGTTAATTTCTATTACCAATTACCAACCTTTTAAGTGCAAGAAGATGGCTAGAAGCCAAAAAGGCCAAGCTCGCTGGCTTTTTCCTTTTCAAAAGTTTCGAAATACTGGTAAATGATTGTGACTGCAAGAAGAATTCCTGTTCCTGAACCAATTGCGCCCATAAAATCAGCCAACACGGTGAGTGCACCAATGCAGATGCCTCCAAATGCTGCTGCAGTCGGTATGTAGCGGTTCAACTCTTTTTGAAGGTTCGATTCGCGGTGACCAGGCATCACCATTTGTTGTTCCTGAAATCATCATATACAATGAACAACATTTTTCAGAAAATGGAGCTAATCTCCATAAGTTGTTACTTGAACTAAGCTGTTAAAGGATTTATCTTTTCACGCAAGATCACACAACAAGCTCTATTTTCAACTCATGATGTAAACCACCAATCAACAATAGGGCATTTGAACACTTCTGACTTCTCTCTCTCTCCCACCTTTAGCTCAGAAAACCTTCAGAGGAAGTGAAAGCGCCATCGGCAAGAGTATTTTGCGTCTTAATAAACTTTCTATGATATCTTGAACTAACATGATTCAAATGCACTCGACTTAAATTCCTAAGGTTCAAATGTTTCTCTGATGCTTAATTATCTCGGTGAGAAGAAAAATAATTTTCAGTTCAACTAGAATATAGAGATCTTGATGATAAAGATCTTGGAACTATAAATGACAAGCATTTTGAAAAAAAGTGGACATCTAAAGTTCCGAATAACATCTGACATTTTAGAAACCGAGTACCTTAAGCTGCTTAGCAACATCTCGAGCAGAAGATCCTGATACTTCAATCCAAGTTTTTGAGAAAAGAGCACATGCAGACAGCATAAAAATAAGATAGAACAGGGCATGGAAAGGATTGGCTGCCATATCAGCCAAGCTGCAAAAAGATGCAACAATTATCAAATGTTAGAATGAAATCATTAACTTGATTGCTGAGAAAAAGAGAAAGAAAGAACTGATTTGACGAGGAATAAGAAAATTAGAATGACCTCGATGGTGCAGTTATATAATAGGCAAGACCACCCACGGGAACAGATTGACCAGATGAGTACTCAGATTCTTTCCATATACCCAAAAGATTCACGAGAAAGTTTCCACCATACTTCCTGTACAGCAACTGTGCAGATTCACAAAATGATTAGTTAGATGGCAAAGCATCACTAATTCACCAGGAGTCCTGCATTTAATGCAAAAAGTTGACCTACCTGAGAGATGAAATAAACATTTGATACAAGTGCAGATTGTAGAATGATTGGCATGTTGGAAGTGTAGAACAGCTTGATTGGGTATGAACCTTGTTGTCCGCGGGCATTCTTTGACCTCACAGGCAAAACCACCCGGAATCCTTGGACGTAGATCACAATTAAAAAGATAAAAACTGTTGCAAGCAGATTTGTGACATTGGGAAGATTTTGTCGGTAAAATGGCTCACGAAGTGCTCTAACTTTGTCTGACCGAGCTATCAGCAGATGAAATAGAGCAATAACAGCTCCTTCAAATTCAGCTCCTCGTCCACTATTGATTGTAGTGGGACTAAATGCTTTCCAAATAATGTTCTCACTGCAAATTAAAGAGCAATTCAAGGTTTTTAATGCTTAGAATTTAGAAACAAGGTGATGTGCAGGGTAGAAGCAAGGAGCATAGAAATTGCAAGAACAAACAGTATAGAAATGAAACGTCAAAAGCAAAGTTAAGAATGTCACCAGATATTGGTAGCTATAAAGAGGGAAATTCCAGAGCCTAGGCCATATCCTTTCTGAAGAAGCTCATCTAAACAAATGACGATGATACCAGCAAAACAGAGCTGAACAATAATAAGAATGGCATTGCCCACTCCAAGTTGATCAACACTGCCGTACATGCCAGAGAGAACATAAGCAACCGCCTCCCCAATTGCTATGAGTATACCGAGCAATTTTTGTGCCCCATTTCTATAGAGCAAAAGAAGAATCATCAAATGAAGAATAAACTATAAAATTTACATTATTATCTTGGAGAGCAACAAAAACAAATCTCACAGTCACTAAGCATTTTAGAGACAAACTAAAAGTAAAATGGGAATGAGGGGCGTTGAAAAGAATCTATGAACTGAAAATTATAGATTAAGGCCCAGAGAATTACAAGAGTGCGCGGTCCTCTCTCACATTGTTGTCAACTTCAATGATCTTAGACCCAACTAAGAGCTGCATCACCATCCCAGATGTGACAATGGGGGTTATTCCAAGTTCCATGACAGTGCCACGATTTGAAGCAAGAATCACACGCATCCAATAAAACGGATCTGCTCCCGTTGTGGAGTGTATGCCATACAGAGGTAGTTGGCTACAAACCAAGAAAATGAAAAGCGAAATCACTGTATAAATAACCTTCTCTCTGAATGGAACTTTCCTGTCAGCGCTCTGAACTTCTGGGAGGAACGAAAGAAACGGTCTGACCAAGTGAAGAACTCGAAATCCACCCCCCATCTTCTTTTATTCGATCTGCCCAAACAAAGAAGCAATTTACAATGCTATTTCTTCCTCCAAACTCATCAAGGATAAAATCTACAAATAACAGACACTAACATCCTGGCATTCTAAATTGAAGTAACAAGCGAACCAAAGAGTAAAACACGCATTCGCATAGAAATACATGAAATCCAATACACTTCATATTCGGAAATCAAACAAAAACAATGATCACTCGGCTAAAGGCAAACATTATTCATTGGCATTGTGTAACAGCATTGATTCTTGAACTCTTGTAGAACCAGTCAAAAGAAAAGCCATTAAAGAAGAACCGCTATAGAAACATACCGGAATAAAATCTTCAGAGACGGCAAGATACGGAGGAGTGGACTGAATCTGAACAAAAACGCCGACTAAACAGAAATCGAAACCGGAGATAATTTGCAAAGTGAATATGAAATTGTTCAACTTAGTGATACGAATCCGCTGCCATTTTATAGCCATTACCGAAACCTTTCTCCTTATCCGTATTCCGTTAGAACTGCAAATTAGGAGTTCGCGTGGCATTCGGAACACGACATCGTAGCCAATAACTACGCGCCACGTAAGATGAATCGCTGACGTATGGAAGACCTTTTTGACTCCAACGTCACGGGTGGGGACCGATCTCGTGGAAACATTGATTTATATTCATATTCAAAATTTTTTTTTTAATTTATATTTTTAGTTTATCTTTAAATATTTAGATTTAAAATGCTGTAGATGATATTCATAATGCAGTGTTTTTTATTTTTCGAAAATTTTAAATGGTTTTAAGATTGTGATAATTCGACAGTCTGCTATAGAAGAATACTGATTTCTTCACTGATTAAAAAAAAAAAAAACTTCGCCTTGGTGGTTAAAAAATTATTAAAATTAAAATTTTTTTACTACAGATTTGACTGTGTTGGATTGGATTTGATAAAAATATTCTCAACCTAACTCAATAATTTAAATCTTGAGAATGTAATATTGTAAATGTGAGTAGACATTGATTTTTATTTATTGTCTTAATTTAATTATTTTGATAGATTGTTAACCCAACCAATATAAGTACAGTTCAATAATAATTGAAATATAGTCATTTCCTTAATATTAAACATGACGGTGAATTTTTCTACCAGTTAAAAGTTCTAATTCATCCCTTTGTTTTATTTAAACCAAGACGAATAAATAAATTAATAAATAATTTTGATTTATGTTTTTTGAAAATTAAAATGATGTTTACCCTTTACTTTTTGAAACACATTTGTGCTTTTAGCCAAATTTAAAAAACAAAAAACCAGATTTTTTAAAACATACATGAAGAAATAATCATAAATTTTGAAAAATTAAAAACAAAATAATCATAAATGTACATACTCCAAGAACAACCCTAAGATTCTTGGAATAAAAGTATTACAACATTTTTCTCACTCATTTATAAATATTTTACATATTACTGTCAACCAGGGGAAAAACACCATCATTCAGAAGAAAAAGATTGTTTCCAAACAGAGTTTGGACAAAAAGAAGAAAGGTTTCAAAAGACTAATTTAAAGAACAGTTCTTAAAAAACAACTTTCAGAAAAATACGCACACAAATATTCCCTTAATCCTTTACACACAATATTTGTTTCGAGTTTTCACAATAACCCATACAAGAAAACGAAAGCGAGGGAAAAACTAAAGGAATGTAAAGATTTCGAAAGTGGGCAAAAAGATGCCTCTCTGAAGAACTGAACGGCGAGATTCCCTCAAGTTCCCAGATAGAAGAACCAAACTAAAACCCCATCTCCTCAACTAACCAAAATCTCAAGCCCCTTTCAAATTTCAGCCGACTCCAAAACTTCCCATGTAGGAAAAATTACAAGAACAGAAGCAGAAGCTGGAACTCTAAATCTCTCTTATTTTTCAACACTGGGTTGTTCAGCAAACCATGAGAAATCCCCTTGTCTTCCTCGCTTATGTAGTAGCAATCGTTAGTTTCCAAGCTGATTCTGCTCCTTCTGGTAAGTGGGTTCCTCCTATATTAGGCTATTTACCTCTGGATATGCTTGAATCTCTTTAATCTCTTCAGTGAAATATGTCTTCCTTCCCCAAATGACTAAATAAAACGGTCAGAATTCTCCATTGGTTGTTTCTTATGGGTATTTTCTTGAATTTCTACTGCATACTTGATGTCTATATTCTCAGCTTTAACATTGTTTGGATCATTCAACCTCTTTGTGATTGTTATTATTCTGATTACTCAGGACCATTGGCAAGGCACTTGTCTTCTCTTCTTAAATGGACTGGGTCTTCTTCCAAAACTCCTCAACCAGGTTATTTTGCAGTACCCATTTGAATTTGTTCGGCAGTATTTGTGCAAAATGTTTGTATTTGTATACTTTAGCTGTAATCTGACCAAGTTTTAACGAGGGGTGGGTTGCTTGCTTCTTACAGATGGGAATGCTATTCAGTTTGAGAGTGGTTACTTAGTTGAGACTATTGTAGAGGGAAATGAAATTGGAATGGTTCCTCATAAGATACGTGTCTCGGAGGACGGTGAACTCTTCGCTGTTGATTTGCTTAGTAGCAATGTTGTCAAGGTTTCTCCGCCATTATCTCGATGTATGCTCATTTCTATCTTCTCCATTTGTGAAATATAAACTTCCATTTTGCTTAAGAGACAGGCAGTTTCGTCCCAACTTGCTAAATATTTTCATCAATTTTGTTGCATCTATGTTTAATTCGCTATGTTGTCTATATGATTGTCGAAGAAAAGTTGCTGCTGTAAAATGGTTTCGAAACTACATTAGTGAAGTTTGGTGTTCTATTGCCGCCTCTGGAATTAATAGGAGTGGTCAATGTCAATGTTTCCTACTAAAGCTCATCTGTGATGGAAGCATTTATAGGTGGTGTATTGGTGATGGTGTTGTTTACTCATCTGGGTTTTGTAACTGTATAGAAACTATTGCCTTTTCAGATAGTAGAGCAAGATTGGTTGCCGGGTCTTTCCAGGGCTACAAAGGGCATGATGATGGGAAACCAAGTGATGCTCGTTTCAATCATCCGAAAGGCGTAGCTTTGGATGATAACGGAAACGTGTATGTTGCTGATACCTCAAACCTTGCCATCAGAAAGATTGTTGATTCTGGTACCTACAATTAGTCTTCCTTACCCTGCCCCACCCTGAACTCCCTAAATAGTTTAAGTATCATACCCTGCGCTTTCTCGAGATGCAGAAAGTGTCGTGATTTCAAAATCAAGTGCATCCTCTTGCCCTTATTATTGAAAATTTTGGACCACAAATGAACTTTAATGTGGAAGTAGAACTGTAGAAGTACTAGGTACTACATTTGTACAAATAGAACATTCTCAAGTAAAGAATTATTTTGCAGGTGTGACAACAATTGCAGGAGGCAAGACTAATGTTCCAGGCTATAGTGATGGGCCTGGGGAGGAAGCAAAGTTTTCGAACGATTTTGATATCATATATGTCCGGCGTAGCTGTTCGTTGTTGGTCGTTGATAGAGGAAACGCTGCACTCCGTCAAATATCTCTTAACAAGGAGGATTGTGATAATCAATATGGCTCAGTTTCTACCTCAGGTTTGGACTTATGTTTGATAAGTCAATAAACATAAGTCAATAGTTCGATCATGTTATGTAACTTATGTTTGATATACAACATGAATGAACTACTAGCTCGATCCAAATACATTCATCCTGATGAATGAACTATAATAAAATTGGCAGTAGTCTGTAAAAAATTTAATCAATTATACGCTATCACTGCATAAAATTTCCTCAACCTTTTATCGACGTTAAATGCTACTGCACTGTTCCTTTCCTTCCTCACCGACGAACCTTTTGCAGATGTCGCAATGTTCATCGGTGCTCTTTTCGTCGGATACGTTACGTATATGCTTCAACATGGATTTGGGCTGTCATTCTTCACTCTTATGGTAAGTTCATATCAAGATCTTTAATTCCCTCCGCTTATCCTTGAAAGAATTTTCATCAATGCTCGATGCCTCCCAGCCACCATCACCTTCTGAAATCTCGTGTTTCTTGTCCGTAGATGCAGAGTGAACACTCGGATACCGAAACTAAAGAACCGAGCAAGGGAAAACACACTCAGCTTGTAGACCACATGAAAGAGGAAACATGGTGGGTGTCATTTGGACGGGCCATTATGGAACTTTCCAAGCAACTAATCGAAACATTGCCCGACAACCTCAAATCCTTTGTTCCCTCCTACTTTAGATCAGATGAGAACCACAAGAAAGGTCTTACCCCTCTGAAAGATGCTCTCAAGATGCCAAAAGATGAAATAAAAAACAATGTGTCCTTGAAAAAGAGAATTATCACTCCTACCTCCGAAACCAAGCATGCCTCTTTTTCAAATGCTCATGCCAAATCTGATGAAATGAAGCCACCAAAAATGAAGTCAAGCAGTTCCAAGACCCCTCCCTCTCTCTTAAACAAGCACAGCCATTCAGGACAACAAGAGTACGCCGAGTTTTACGGGTCCAGCTTGGTCTCTTCCTCGCATAGTAGGTCCAAAGGCCAGAAGGATAGATCAAGACATCGACAGAAAGAAAAAGGGTCGGAACTTTTAGCGGCCGTACTCAGTGCTGAACCGAAACCTGCAGAGATGAAGACGGATTATAGCGATGCGAAGTTTGGCCAGTTCAACTTCAGGAATAAGTACAGATTTGATTCTTCCAGCTTCCATTTCTGATTATCTTGACTATAAAGCCGGGAGTACACAGATGACCTCAGTTTTCTGCAAGTTTTTTACAACTTTTTAACTTCCTCAAAGAAGATGGATGAACATTCTTGAAGAATAGATTATGAAGAAACTTGAAGATTGAGCTTCAATGTCTTCTTTTAGCATGTGTTATCCTTTTGTATCCATTTAATGTAGGCCAAATTTTACATTGGCTTGTTGCTACTCTTGAGAATTAATGGTCATTTTGATGAACCCACAAATTTTTTGATGCTGCTGCTTTGTTAATATTCTTCATAGATTCCTATCAGGTGTTAGAAGTTGTAAACTCAAAAAGACAAGATGATCCTTGAGTTGACAATTATTCTATGACAGAAATATATATTTTCTGGGCACAGGCCAACTTGTGCGCATTGGAGTACTTGGCCCTACAAAATTTAGTATCGGGAAACTTATAGAAATTAATTCCTAAGGTGGGTGGTCATCGGTTGAGTTGTGCTCGTTTTGGCAAAAATTCTCATTTCTTCCCAAAAACTTCATCAATTTCATTGTTCTTCATTATTTCGTCAATTTTGTTTCATTTTCATTGACTATTTTATAATTTTTCTTATTTCTTCATCATCTTATTCGTGGGATTCAACTTTTTTATCAACCCTGCTTTATTTAAAACTATCAAATTAATCATAATTACTGCATATTGTTGATACTAATTCATTACAATTTGTTTTTTACATCTTTTATATAGTATATATATTTTAGTTGAACGAATATAAAATCATCGACCTTGTTAAAGTGTCGTATCCACCCAACCATGTGATACTAAATTATAAATTTATAACCTAATTACATAATTATTAATCTAGAAATATCTTTTCCAACACCATTTTCACAATCTTGTTACCTTTTTTAAATTGACAAGTTTGCCACTTGGCCTTTGGAATTTGACAATTTTGCTTTTACAGTTCAAAAGTAGGATCAACCTAACTATGTTATTGCCCTTTTTTTTAGATGATGGGCAAGAATGGCATGGTATGAAAAAAGATGAGGATGTGACACTTTTGATTCAGGTTAAATTGAAAAGTTATTAAATTTCACCCTTCTTCTTCTTCTTTTTCCTTTTTAATCACCTTATCATTTATTTACACTATGAATATTTTCAATGTAAGTTTGGTCATGTTATATACTTCAATTTTATTATATTGGGTGAGTATCGGTATCATATCAGGAGTTGTACATTTGTCAATAAATATTATACAAATTCATAAATAGATATTTAAATATCACTTAAAGAATTCTATTTGCAAATATACGAGCATGCTCCGATCCTCGTATTTACTTCTACACTTTCCAGTATCACTACTCTAACTCGTATTTTGAAATGTAAGTAAGGTTAAGAAAACTTACATTTATTTTTAGATCTCAATAAAAGGTTTTATATATATATATATATATATATATATATATATATATATATATATATATATATATTACTAAAAAAAATTGAAAATTGAATTGAGACATGGTTTGGAATGCTTTTTAACTTTTGGACTTTGTTGTCCTAGAGAGTAAAAAACACCATTAATAATTGTTCTTTTAGTTCTACCATCAATAATTGTTCAATGCTCATTAAAACATAGATTAAAAAGATGGAAAACTCAATGAAATTAAAAAAATAAAAGGGGAGCATCACATTTAAAAAGAAAAAAAGAAAACAAAAAATATGGCAAAATAAATGTCAACCTTGTAATTTTTTATAATAATTATTAGAGAATCTCATTCCTAATATTATAATATAATGCCTATTTTTGGGTTCATTGTAAAAATCTATCTCACAACAAGTGTGGAATCTTATTGTTTTTATTATTATTTGAATTCGATACCTTTATAATATAGTATTATTAGTCAATTTATAACAACATTTGTAAAATTAATTTTAATAATTATAAATATCAAAATAAATCCAAATAACACTTAGAATCAAAATAAATTATTGCCAAATCGAGCATAGGTCAGCGGTAATTGTCACCTATTTCCAACTAAGAGATGGTGAGTTCGAACTCCCAACATGTTGTATTAAAAAAAGAATCATAATAAATTATCAAGTCTTCATCCATGGAAAATGTATTCAAATATAGTCCAAGTGGCATTTCTTCCTCCATAAAAATATCTTATTTTATTAAAAAAAAATTTATCAAATCACTCAGGTATATAAATTTTATTTTAGAAAAGATAATGAAATATTTTATGAATATACCACTAAAATGAATAAAAATAGAAATTAAACTACAATTTTTTTAATTACGGTTTCATATTTGTTTGAAAAATAAAGAGAGAAAATTTCCTCTTCTTAAACACAAAATTGAGTAATTACTACGTTTTTTTTCTTTTAAATTATTTAAAAAAATAAAAAGTTGATTAAAAAAATAAAAAAAATAATTGAAATAAAAACCGCAGGGACTCGTCTTGCCGGCGGAGCTTCGGGTTTTGACTTTTTTGGACTCTCAACGAAGCTTCTGCTTCTGTTCATTTTTCCTTCCAAATCTGCCTTCTTCTTATTTCAGGTTTCTTTTGTCCTTAATTTTGCTCACTATAATGGGTTGTGCCGGATCGTCGCAGGCCAAAGGCGACGGTGAGATTATCCTCTTAACATACTTTTTGTATTCCGTTTGTTTCCCGGGATTCTTCTGGGAAATGACGGATTTCATCTTCCATCTCATGCTTAATTCTGAGTTCTTTTACGTTTTCGATTCTGAGATGAATACGACGGCGGCGCCACTTTGAATGGGTAGCTAATCGTGTTGGGTTAAGCGTGTGTGGAATGCGAGATGAGAATTTGTGGATTTGAACCGTCTTTATTGTCAAGTAAATAGATTCTTGGCATTTTAGTGTTCTTGGTTCACTGATTGCTTTTTAGGATTATATTGGATGATTGGTTTTTCTCCGAGTTTAATTTGCCTCTTCGTTTTAGGATATTTAGTTTGCAGCTTCTTGAGCATGTAACTATTGGTCTTGAAGAGCTGAAATTCGCTTCTCATTTAGTTATTGTACTTGATTCGATTGCTTGAGTTTTAATTGGAAATTGTTTGGTGTATCTCCACTATTTTGTTGCGGCTTCCGAATTAGGGGGCTAATTGTTTGTACTCATCCGCCTCTGAAGTGAGGTGTTAATTATCTCGATCCCGGGGTGGAATTGAGATTCAAAAACAGTTGTAACTTTTGACTTGAAGATTTAAGTGTTCATTATAATTCTCATGGTAGTGGAGAATTTAATGTTAACATGGTTGCAACCTTGGTCCCTTCTTCTTATGTTGTAATGTCGAATGTGATAAGTTCTGTCATCCATCGTGCCTTTATTTTTCTGATTAAATCCAAGCACTTGAACTTTATTTCTGCAGTCATTGTTCATCAGATGCTAAGGCCAATAGTTATAAGGAACTCATACCATCCTTTTATTCACTGGAAGGTTCTTTTTAATTCAGGGCCTGTGAAAAAAATTCGGAAGCCTAAAGCTTGGAAGCATCCCCAGCCAATAACGAAGACAGAGCTTGTGCAGATGCGTGATGAATTTTGGGATACTGCACCTCACTATGGTGGCAGAAAAGGTAATATTTTAAAGTTAATTATTTGGGTCTTAAACATAATTACTGGGTGTCTGTTATGATTATGAGCAGATTAGTCGATCTATATATCATATTTTATAAACAAGTGAAACTAGCGTTGCTAAATGAAATTCTTCATGGTCATGTAAATTTATGATCCAGAAAGATGACTGCACTGATTTTATGCGACTTCTTATTGTCATGTCTGTAAAGAATTCCTTGCCTAATTAGTTCTTGAGAAGTATCCAACATATTTGGCACGCCGCAATATTGTATGAGGATTTGGAACTTTTATTAGAAAAGAAATTCCTTTTGCATTCTGGACCTTTTAGAGGTGGTCTCTATTTAAACTATGCTAACGAGTATTTTCCATCACTTCATCATTAGAAGATTTGGTAGCCGGGGTGACCAAATTCCAGTAGAAATACTTCTATTTAGGAGTGTGTGTTGGTGAGTTCTTCAGTATGAAGGTCCACCATTTTTCTCCTAGTTCTGAACCATAAACAGATAACGCATAGAACAAATTTTAGACCTCTAGTTAAATTATCCTATGTTCGGCAGAGTGTCAACTTCAATGGAGTATAACTAAAAAGAAATGCACTGCCTATGTGCGTGCCTGATCTTTATGAAAAATGATCAATATATCATCTGTAGTGTATGAAGGTAACCAATACTAGAATGAAAGTGGGAAGAGCAGGAATATGAAGTAATGACAAAAGAATGAGGATGCTGATTTTTTGGTCCTACAAGTATGCCAAAAAAACCTTACCTAATTTTGGCCATTGTAATGATGAAAGAGGATTTAATTATTATGTCGTAATGAAGCAAGTGGGAGAAATTGTCATCAACATCTAAGGCGGCTTTAAGTTCAGTTTCAGTTTCACATTTTGTTTCATGCATTTGCATCTCTTCAGATGTTCAGTTGCCGAGGTTAGAATATTTAGAAGAAGTTTTCACTAGACAATGGGCATTTACATTACACATGGAGTGTTAATAAATCACAACTACTAGTTGGTTCTTAGCAGCGAGAGTTCATAACTACACTCGAAAAGATTTAGCTGTTATTATGTGTCACACTTCCACATTGAGAAAAATTATATGAATGCTATGCTGCTACCCAGTTGACAGATGTTCTCATGTCAAGTTTTGTATTCTGTGATTTGATGTGCAAAGCTACAGAAATTACTCTCATGCTAGATATTAAGCTTAATTTGAGTTTGTTGGCATCATATCCATTATTGGTCCTAAGAGTTTATCAGTTCTAAATTGAATGTTAGTTTTCTCTTAGTATAAGCAGATGCTCTATGAAAATTGCAATTTGGTTATTTTTAAACACGATTGAACGATCAATGAACCAAAAAACTTGAGCTTATGGGTTTGAGTAAATTTAATCATTTATGTTGACATCTAACAGTTATGAAGCCGAGTGCATGCTGTAGGATTCAAATGGTTCAATGAGCAAATTACTATCCTCATATCTTGTTCTGTTCTGTATTGTTAATCTGCATTCTGAAACGATTAAAAAAAATTCTTATTTTGTGAACACTAGAGATCTGGGATGCCCTTAGAGCTGCTGCTGAAGCTGATCTAACGCTGGCACAAGCAATTGTGGATAGTGCAGGGGTCATTGTACAGAGTGCCGATTTAACAATTTGTTATGATGAGAGAGGTAGTAAACCTGGCCCCCACTCTAGTTCTTTTAAAATCCAAAAATACCCCCACAACTTTTAATAATATGTCTACATTCTACCCTATAAATAATAATTCTTGGATCTAGGGTCTATTGCTTTGGTAAAAGTAAGTTAATAATATATTGTATTTGTCTTGGGAAGCTAGAAATAGTATTTTATCTTATTATATTTAATGAATATCACGAGTATGAAATTATCCCGAGGTGATAGAAACTAATTTATTTATGGCAATATCTAAGAGAGTTTCAAGAGCTACTTGCCTCTCTCACAGGGCATGTACATATTAAGTACTTGTTTGGTAACGTTCATGTCTTTTTGTTTATGTTTCCTCTTTTTTAATAAAGGAAAATAGAATCCACCCACAGATGCAAAAATGATAAAACAAGGTTTTTATTTATGTTGGAACAAATTGGAAACAGGAACCAGAAACGAAAAACTTGTTTATGTTTTTCTAAAATTTCTGTAAGAATGTCTAGAAACATAAGTAGTTGTCAAAAATGCTTATTATTCTTAATAAAATTGGAAACGAGATACAAGAAACAACGTTACCAAATGGGTCCTGAATTCCTCAAAAAGAATGCTCTCAGATTCAAACTTACCCTAAACTAATATTCTTTGGATCTCACAGATGGTCCCCTCCCCTCCACTCTAAATTCACTTCAGCAAAATACTACCGTACCCTTTTTCCTTCATAGGACTAGACATTTTCATTATAGGGGTGTATCATCTTCCTAATGCTCCCTTTTTTTTTTTTTCCATATTGTATAAATTGCTTAAATTTTGGTGGTATTTAATTGCAGGTGCAAAATACGAATTGCCCAAGTATGTTTTGAGCGAGCCAACCAACTTGATTTGAGAAGTAAGTAGTACCGGAGAGGTGAGGAGTTGTGTGTTTTGTGTTGGAAAATTGATTGTAAATCATGTATATTACAATATTACTCCCTTTCAAATGTTTATTACAGTCTGTGATTATGAAGATTTTCCACATTGATCAATTGGACTTGCACCAACTTGCTGTAAGTTTGATTTGATCAAATGAAATCAATGAAATATCTATTTGGAATTGAGTCAAATTAGAACCCCCTCCCCCTATTCCTCCATATATATGTATCATTCAAAAGCAGGAGATAATATGAGAATTGGCTTTAGAAAAATCTGGTTTCTTACTGATGATTCACTTGAAGACGCAACCAAAGGATGGAGTTGCTTAGACAGGAGTTTTAATGTTGTGTTGGCCTTTTGCCGGGCTAGTTACACTTCGTTTGATAATGTTATTGATTATTGTTTATCGTTTCATATTTTCTGTCTATAGTTTTTGTTCTTTCATTTTTATTGAAAAAAGAAAAAGAAACATATTTGATAATAATTTTTTATTTCTTATTTTTTACAATCTTAAATTTTAAAAAAGTTTTATATGAAAATAAAAAATCAAAACATTCTACATTTTTTAAAATATTTATTTTGTATTTTAGAAGTAAAAAGTAATATTAAATAATATTTTTATTTATGATTTGAAAAATATTATAAACAAGAAATAATAAACTTGATTTCATTGGTTAATCTTCCATCGCGTCTTTTAGACAATATTTTGACAGATGATTGACACTAAAATTGCCATGAACTTTTGTAACTTACAAATTAAATTATGTATTTCATGTTATACTATCATCTGTGTCAATTTGGTTTCAATATTTTTAAAAATTCATTTTCCCCTTTGGCTTTATTGATTAGTTTTAATCGCCTATTGTCATTAATGAATATTATTCTTTGACAGAAAAAGACCTAGATTTGCCAACAAAAATGTTCGCAAGACTAAATGCTGACTCAAAACTTTTTCCTGTCATTAATTTTCAATCAAAATTGACATATAGTAACCAAACTTAACAAAATATAATAATCTAAACATAATTCAATTAATATAATAATCGAAACATAATTCAATTGGTTAATGTATATATCTTCCAAAAAAATCAAAGTTTAAATCTACGCACAAACGTAAGTATAGCTCAACCAGTTAAGACACTATATCAAACTAAAAGTCTGTGAGTTTGAATCTCCGCCTCACATGTTACACGGAAAAAAAGAAGTCCAAAACTATATAAATACACACCTAATTGAAAATAAGTCAAGTTAACCCGAATATAATTTAGTAACCCGATTATAATTTAGTAATTAAAACATATCTACCTTAACCAACTTGAGCATAACTCGATAACATGAATATAGCTTAACGATAATTGACATGTATTCTTTTCTCAGGTTGAATTGAAAAAAAAAATAATAAAAAAAAAAAAGACTCCACCCCATACTTTTGTAATATTCTTAGGAAAAAGGGGTAGAGAAGTGAGAAGTCTGGTTTAACCGAGTACAGTCAAACACATGACACAACAAATACCCTCATGCAAATTACCATTTAAATTGAACCGTTCAGTTCATGATCGATAAGGAAATATCAACTATTCTCTTCTCTAAAGATGAACTATAAATAAGGTTAGCACCACCTCTACTTACCATTTTCTTCATAAAAATAAGATGCAATGATGTCTGACTGCAACTTCCAAGTTTCAGGAGAACCAACGTCAATTCCTAGCTTTGCATATGTATCAACAATCTGCTCTTTCAATTCAATTCCACATCAATAGAACAAGGAACAAAAAGAGAGTAAAGAAAGCTAGAGATCATAAATATTACATTACTATTCCTTTACAGAGTCGCTCCATCGATGTTCCTCAAACCCTCTTGAAAAAGGAAAGAATATTTCCCTGTTTAGGACCAGTCGCATTTCCACCCTTTTTCGCTCCTGCTTTAACTCCTGGATTTGTAGCACTACTGCCCAAAGCTGGTGACTTTTTAGCCGCAGAAGGCCTGGATTAAAATACCCAAAAACTCAAATCTTATTGAATGACGGATTAAAGTTTCAGCAAGAAAAGACAAAGGAATATACTTAAACGGAGTAAAGCAAGGTACAATCAGTCATTGTCCGTACTCTGTTCTATACATTCAACTGATGGTTTTAATCATATTGTTGTTGGTGGAAGAGTAACAATCATAGAGCTTTGAAGCTAGAAGGCCTTTTCGGCTTCTGTTTATATTTTGAAGATAAGTTCTCTATTTCAAGTAATGGCAATTATGTACGTCTATCACTCGATATTTATACTTCCAAAAACTGGAAACCCTCAAAGATGATGAATGAAACGGAACATAAGTAGATGATAGAATATTAGGCTATCACAAAATATAATTTGATGGATAATATATTGAATGGAAGAAAAGGAGTTGACAACTCCTTATACCGAAAGACATGATATCAGAATTAACCTGTTTGTAGTAGTAGCCTCAGCTGCTTTATGATCAGATTTCTTCATTGAACCGACATCATCCTTCTTCTGTTCCTGCTCTTCACCCTCCCAAACCACCTCATTTACTGGTAAAATTGGAAAGAAATTGAATAAAGCACAAGACAAATATATAAAAGTTAAATTAATTTTACTACATCATCATGTATTAGCCAAAAGAAAACCTCTTCCCAAATTATCATGTACTGTTAGCCAAAATCTCTTTCTGCACATGAAAATAGTAGGCAATAAAACAAAATTTACATGCACCAAAAGACATTTATTGCTCCGCCTATTAACCATTTGGTGCTCCTTTGAAAGCAATCTTTCAACATGGGAAAATGGGAGCTACATTCCCTTCCAGAAACACAAATGTAAAACAAACATGTAGTGGGCAGTTAAAAACTAAAAATTATATCCATCATTTGGAGGGAGGCGAGTTCTAACATACTCCAAAAGAAATAAATTGCATTAAACCAAGCCGCATAAAGAAGGCAGGCTAGATATAAGCATACCTTCTCTCCCACGCTCATCAATTTTTGTCCTCAATACTTTTTTCCTCTTAGGTGGTGAAGCTGGAGCAGCACCGGTTGGTTTCTCTCTCTCATTAGTGTCATTTTCATGAGCACAAACTTCATTTTTCTCTGCAGAGGAATGGTGGTGTTTTTCTCCTACTGATGATTGTTTGGATTCACTTATTTCTTCCACCTTCAGTTGTTCATCATTGTTCACTTTTTCTTTATGCAATTCTGTGTTTTGCTTCTGATCTAGACATGATTGACCCTTCGGATATTCAGGTGATGCCAAATTTACTGCATCATCGAAATCTTCATCATCCGAGAAATCAAGAACAACCCTCCTTTTCCTTCCGCTATCATTGGGAGTCCTTTTGATATTTACATCTTGGTCATCATCATCACTGTTGACATTCTGTACCGCTTCGTGTGCACAAATTTGTGCCTCTGCACTAGATACTGCAACAAAAACCAAGGGTTAGAAAGAAATAAATATAGCTGTTTAAAATTTCATTCCGAACAAACATGTGTTTCATAGTCAGTCCAATTATAAGTATACGAAAATTTGAAAGAGGGGAAACCAACCAGTAGGGTTTGCGACGACACGATTGACATCTCCATAGTTGTCACTAAGCTTAGACTTAGCAGGGACACGACCCCATAAATTTGTTAATGAACCTCCAGTGTTGAAAGAGGTTTTATCACTTTGAGCTTTCTTCTTATTAGCAGGTAAGGAAGAAACCTTTACTTTGTCTGATGTAGGCTTGGAGGCCTGCTGAAAAGACTTTGTACCATTATCTTCACCTTTGACTTCTTTAACCACAGTGGGAACCTGTAGACCAACATTAGGACTAGGCTTTTGCATTTCACCTTTTTGAAGTTGTGGATTTTGACATATTGTATTCTTTTTTGTTGATTCTGCATCCACTATACTTTTTGGCTGAGGAGCTGCAGCGGTTGCAGGCATCCCATCAATACAGCGCTTGACATATGAATTGGAAATCCCACAGAACCTAAAGAAGCAGAACATCAGGAAAAGAGGAAAATGCGGTATAAGGAGCCAAGCAAGAATCTTACAAGTGACCTAGTATGATTGAATAGTGCCACGACTACAAAGAGAAAAGAAACCCATTATTATTAGGTCGGGGAAGTGCATTGCTATATATTATTCCAAATCAATATTATGGATATTATCAAGAGGTTTGTGTGGATGCAGTGTAGTCCCTTTTGCACTCTACAAGGATCAAGATCGAATTAATATTCATTCTCCTTCAGCCAAAAGGATATATTTCTAGCCTTTTAGTAATTATGACAAAGTGAGACAAAAATTCTAAGTTCAAACCCATGCCCACCACCAAGAAATTGCTGAAAAGAAAAATACAAGACAAATCGATAATAACCCATTGACTGCAGTGCAAAATTTAACTGAGCCAAATGTAGAAAACCTGTTGTCTCGCAAACAATTGTCAACACTGTAGGGCTGCTTGAAGAGCTCTTCTGCCTGAACAAATTCAGCATTCCAAAGTGCGGCTGGATCCTTTGGAATGGAAGCTTGAACGCTATAAACTTGAATGGAGCAGGTGCCATCAAAATCTTGCTTCGCTTCTGTTCAGAAGTTAAGGAAAAACAGAAGCCATTGAGTCCCCTTAGGCTCTTACCAAATGAAGAATATGGAACTAACAGTTACGATTCCTTGAAAAAAAGTATGATGCGCCATAAGTTCTCGAGATTGGTTCATCATCAGAAACACTTGCAAGAGACTCCTATATACTGTATACGAACAAATTCAGAAGGTTTTTCCACCCCTTAGCATCAAGTGCCAATTAAGTACAAGCATAATGCTTGCTACCTAGATAGCAAAAATTTAAAATGGTATAGTGCTTTATTGCAAAACAAAAACAATTTCTAATGCAAGCGAAAGTAATAGCTAAGATTATTCAAACCCTTTTCCTACAAAACACGCTAGATATATTGAGGCAAGGAAAAGCATGCACCATCTTAGAAGCTAACCAGTAAGTTCTGAACCAGAAACAAGCCTAATATGGTAACTTTGAGGATCATTCTTCAACCATCCAGACAAGGCATAAACCACCTCAAATCCACTTTCATGTTTTTCAACAAATTCCCGAAGCAACCTACATAATAACTCTACATTAGAAACATTGAATGAGGACAAACTAGTTACACGCAATTTTTTTATGCCAAGATCCTAACCTCTTTGCTGTATCCGAAGATATCAAATAATTGCGACTTAGCCACTTGTAGGAAACCTGAGTTAAAATGCAGAATAAAATTAGAAGGTATTCGATAGCAAAAAACAAAAGCTACTCCCAAATACAAAATTACACTTCTGAATAATAAGTGCATCAAAACTAGAGGAAAAACACAATGATCTTATGAAGCTGATGCAGAGCTCCTCAGACAACATTGGCCAAGTCAGTCCTTGGAAGAAAAACCCAAATCACTCATTTAACCCCCAACAACTTTACATCTTTAAGCATTCACTTTATTGATGGTGGTGCGATTTGAGAACGAAGAACGATACAGACAATAATCTAGTCTAATTGAAAGAATCAACATCCCATAAACTTCTTCCTTTCTCCCAAGTATAATTGAAAGCACAAAAAGAACATATAGAACAGAAAATTCGCCGAAGAAATTAAAAAACTCTTTGCTGATAAGCCTCTGCCTATAAACAGCATAGGTCGACACCTGACACAGATTACAAATGATTGCAAGGCCAATAGCCGAGAAAATAGTAACTCGCCGTTAATCCAGCCCACATCAACATAATTGGCATAAACGTTCGTATCGGAAACAGCGACGAGGCAAAAAATTCAATCAAAATTAACTAGAACACTTGTACGGCAGGAAATTCAAAATATCAGAGTAGTAGTCTGGCTCCATGAGACCAAAGGGAAAGAAACTAGAATTTGAAGGAAGAGCGAGGGAAGGAGGGTAGTTACCACTTGAAGCTTGTCGGTTACGAGGGATTCGATGTCCATGAGTATGCCTAGGGTTTCGATTTCGGCCATTTGCGTTGAAGTGAGAGATCGGAAGACGACGATGGGAATAAGAGGCGCGAGATGAAGAGAAATATCAACGAGTTTCCCTCCCCGAGAGCGAGAGCTCACTCTTTCCCGCCATTTTCCAACCCAACCTTTTCGATTCCTCTCCTCTTTTACCCGCTCTGTAACCATTACTCGTCCCTACATTTTGTTCCCTATTTTACTTATTATTTTTCCTCACATTGTACAAAAATGCCCTTGTTTATAATTATTTTTCTTATATTCGAATTTTTTTTTTTTGGAAGATATATACTTTGAACTATGTCCATATTGACCCTAGCTCATTGTATTAAAAAGGGAAAAAAATTATACCCTTTCTAATTGAGAGTTTTTTAGAAGGTTAATATATATTAACAAGATGAATTTTTCAAGATAAATTTAAAGATTAAAGATAAAATTTAAAAATTTTAAACAATGATATAAGTTGGAAGATTCGTGATTGATACAACTTCATCATTTATCAGTTAGCTGGATTTAGAGAATATAATCGATATTTAATCAAAAAATGTATATAGAAAATTAATTAATTTGGAGTAGGCTGATGGTATACATATTCAAAATTTTATTAGTAATATCTTTGTTTTTTGGACAAATTTAGAAATATCAATTGCGGAAGAAGTGAATGGATGATTTTAAATAGTTAAAAACAAAATTATTAATTTTAATTGATTAGTCAAAGTTTCAAGGCATGACATCTAGAATTATTATTTTTTTAATGACATCTAAAATTATTACTTTTCCACGCAAACTCAACTTTCAATATATTCTTTTAGATAAGAAACTACGATTTCACGGAGAAGATATATATATTATTTAACCATGATTTTATTGAGAAGACATATATATATATAGATATGCCAAAGTAATTGGAATAATTGTGTCCACCAAATCATTATATCACAAATTCTTTACATTAACAAAATCAAATTAATTTGTTCATTTGGTTTTAGAGATGTACCACTAACATTCTCTCAGAGAAAAATATATATATCCCAAGACAAATGGAAATTCCATATATATATATATATATATATATATACATACATATATATTTTAATCGTACTTCAATTAATCTCACGAGACAGCCGTCTGACACTACAACATTGGGACCGGGAAACAAAGTGAGAAATTCCATATTAGATCAGGTGGCTGGGGAGGTTTTCTATGTGAATATGTAAACTTCATCAAAACCCTTCCTACATTTACACACCAAAGTTAAAAATAAGAAGTTCGTTACTAAAATATCAAATCAAACCAACAAAAATAAGAGCAAAGTAATATGGGGTTACCCAGCCTTGCCACCAAAAGTTGGAATATAATTGTAGATGAGACTGTCAAGAACCTTCTGTGCAGATGGTCTGTTCAAAGATTTTCTGGCCTCACTACAGAACACAAACATAAAAGTTGAAGTTTCCTTATAAACTTGGCCATATAAATTATAAATCATAAGAACCCAGCAAAATGTTTTACTACCTAAGGAAATGGCTCATGTTTGGATTCTTACTGCAACTTTACAATATGCTCTCTCTTCACAGATTTAGTGATAGGCCTTCTATTAGAAATGTGATCAATGAAGGGTGTGTGAAGAGTGGGAGTTTTGGGAAGAATGTAGTTAGTTAGTAGGGGCATCCTACTGTACTCAAATCGTATCATTATGATTCAAGTATGGCGATAGAGAGTTGGGAGGGACGGGAAGCTCTACAACTCTGCCATTGACGGTTGCCATTGTTGATAAATAATATTGATTTATTACCTGGTTAGCAAGGGAAAAAGATGGGGAGCTTTCATACAAAGGCAGTTATGTGGAGGGACAAGTAATTCAGTTGGCAGCTTAGCCACAAAAGTCTTAAACACGCCCCTGATGGGATCCAAAATCGCCCCCCTAGTTGTGTGCCTTCGCCATGGTGGTGCTCTCTTTTGCAAGGACAAGTCAAAAACTCGAGATCACTTCTTCCTAAATGGCTCTTACTTTCAACCTTTAATTGGCAAATTTGGCCCTCCCCAAGTACGCCAACGCCCTTCTTCCTATTATTTTAGCAGGGTATCCTTTTAAAAAAGATAAGAATGTTATTTGCCTATTGGAAGAGCTTTTTGTGCAATGTCGAAGCTTGGTTTTCATCCCCTCTTTTAGTAATTTCATAGATATATTCCTCTTTTTATCTTAAAAAAAGGAAAAAGGGAAAATAGCTCCTACTGCTTGTGTAAACATGAAACCTTCTAGGGCAATGATATATTCTGGGAAAGTGGAACAAAACAACTTAATTTACAGCCAAGATCTAACCTGATAAAGTGGTTGGCAACATGTTGCGTCACTTCAATCGCATTCTCCGTATGCGGAATCACGGAAGAACCCCACTCAAAGGCATTTTTCTGCAATGCAAGTTTAGAATTGTAGGCGCTTGATTGATTTATATAACAACAGAAAATATTATATGACAAGGTTATCACGGTCTATTATGTAAATGTTTATATCTGTACTAAAGGGACAAGGTATCCAACAAGTTTGGAATTATCAGTCAAACAGGAAAGTGTAAATCATTTTTATTTTATTTTATTTATTAAAGAAAAAGCTGGATTACTTTGTTTTGGGGAGGATGTCACACATGTGACAACCGGACGCTTAGCAATAGGCTTAGCCTGAATAGCATGGTGCACATCTCGACTAATCTCATGGAAACAAGCGTCCGTCTCTACTACACTTCGTGATCTATTTTTATCACCAAAAATCACTCATATTCTCCTTTTTCGACAGACGATGTCTCATTTCAAGTACAAACAAGAAAACAAAAAAGTCATGGAGTTTCAAAAACCATCTCTATTGGCGATAATAGAAGAGTCGTTGTAATTACCAAAAAAAAAAGGTGTAGAAGTTATTATAAGAAAAGGAAAACAAATAGAAACAATAATCTCCCGTTGAGTATCTACACTCCTATGTACCATCTTCCCTTTGAATATCCGGTTGTTTCTTTCTAACGAAAATTTTCAACACGGCTTTTGTTACATTTAACCAAAGCTTGTCAACTTTGTTGTTGTAAGAGTGTCTACATAAGATAAGAATCAGAAAAACCTCAATTGGTTTTGAAAATCCAACTGCAAATCCCCAGCCGGGAAAGATGCACGTTACGGATAGATGAAAATCCCCCTTTAGTTCTATCTTTCTCAGGCGGGGGCGAGACCAGAGAATTGCTGGAGTGTAGAGGGAGGTTGGAACTTAAATGATTGGAGAATGAGGATTGACTTCTACAGTTCTCGTAGTGCACATTATGGACAATGGACAATTTCACTCACACAGATGACCAAGACTTGAGATGCTGAGTTTGGGAGAATACATGGAATTTAAAATCAATATCATCTGGAAAGGAAAGTGCCAGAAGAAGGCAAATCTTCTTATGTAGGAGGGCTAACTACCAGTGGAAAAATCCAACCAGAATGGTCTCCTCTCCAGCTGGTGCCTGACGTGCAAAAGAACCGAAGGTATCTCTCTTTACAGGCTAAAATTGGACCGTTTCTTCAAGTAAGATTTTATTTTTTTTTCACTGCCTGACATCTTTAAGCAGTTTTCCTCCATGGCCTTAGAAGTTATGTTCCATGACCTCGTAGTCAAATTTGATTCAAGTAAATCAAGTGTGCATAACATATATAATATGCAGATGCACGTACAGATAATAATTCCAATACTAGATGAGGAGAACAAAATGAAAGTCGAATAATTACCTCGGGATGCCATTGAAATGCAGTCACGGGATAATTCCGAGCATGTACAGTGGAGACGTAAACCTGTAATAAACACAACAATTACTATTAGTGCAACCAAAAACTAGAGGTAGAGGAGCAATTGAATAAGTGCAGTTATATGAAGTCTGAGACATGACAATATTTTCTATTTTGTAAAGAGTTTGAGATAAAATTCAAAGTACCTTATTGTCTTCATCATTACTAGTTGTCAATATCCCAAAAAATCTGGATAATTCTGCATTTTGCTCAAACCTTCCTGGTGAGATACCATACTGTATGGAAAACAAGATAATCCATATTGGTAGACTGATCTATGATCTGATTAACAAAGGCAAATTCTGAAGTCTTTAAGTTGTATATAAAGCAATATGGTTCGCGAACACATATAAAACCAGAAATGATTGAGCATGTATGTTTATAGAAACAAAAAGCTTGAGAACTTTTAGCCTTGCACACCAGAGTAATAGCTTCGAAAAATGACATGAACAAGATAATGCAGAAGGCTTTCTTTGGACGAATAATATAAGGTGGATTCAGATCCTCAATACCGCTAAGGGAGCACATCATTAAAATGTGAATCCAACCATTCACGACATGTAAAGTCAATGAATAACAGAAACCATAGCATCAGGATTAATCTATAACTTGAATTATGTGACTTCAGTCTCGGAAAGTTGCATGATGTGAACTGATCACTCGACCACCCGTGCAAGATCCACCAATTCAACAGTCTGGAACCTCAACTGGTATCAAAAGAAGCCAAATTCCATGCAGAGGCAAACTGGTCTAGATATTGCCATAATTCGTGTTGATTCAAAAGTCAAAATTAACTAAGAAAAAACCTAAAATATGAATAAAAATAATCCCAATACATCAATAAACTGAAAGAACATAAATAGCTTTTCCATTCAAATTTAAAATCGTGAAATTCCTGAAGTAATCGGATGATAAGTAATGTGAAAGATGTCGTGGCAAGACGTGAAGTTATTGGGAGAAACTATTGATCAACCATCAGTCAAACTCAAAAAGAACTTACAAGATGGTTTTGCATTACAATACAATCTGTACTCAACTTCTCGAGTAAATAACGTGGAAATCTACAGATAAAAAGAACATCAATTGTAAGTTTAAGGATGAGCAACTAAAACAACCTCATAAAAAATAGTGATATTTATTGTCTAACAAAAACTCAATTTAATATGACAGGCCTCAGAAAAATTGACTACAATGTAATCACAAGACCAACATTTAATAAACCTACATATTTACAACACATTAGGTTCTTTTGGCACAGTCATAATAAAAGGATATTTTAGATCTATATATCAGTAATAACTAGTACTAGCAACAGTCACGAAGAACATTTTAGAGAAGGCATAAAGGATCTGTTCTGATTCCTGAACTCCTAAGTGTGTTTTACAAGAACCCATCACAATGAACCTCCTCCCCCGGGAGGAAACAATATATAACAATAATACACCCTGAAAAAGAAGACTGGATACTGGTAAAGCCACAACACAACACAAACCACTGAAATTTCAGGAAAACAAAAGATACGTACCTTTGGAAAACTGTTCCTTTAATATTTACATTGTCCACAAAATCCAGAGTGGACGCCATATTTGACGAGTTAAATGATTCAAGAATGTTCCTATCCTGTAAATATAGACAAAATATGATTTTCAGGTGGAAAATATTTTATTTAAAACAATTGTAATAATATACAAAAGCACATTCAGTTGGAAATGATTTCCTTCTCCAGCAAATAACTAAGGAAATTCAAGCAGAGGGATTGCAGAATCCTTAAGTCAATGACAGGGAATGAAAATTAGGAGACAAACTATTCGGTCAGTATCTTCCATCCATCTTTTAGTCCTCAGATGATTTTTATTTTTTTTTTAATAATTATTTGAGCTACATCCTGCGTGGTAAAGATCAATGAAGCTGCTCCCTCATAGGAAGTCAAGGAAATTGAAACTGTGCATGACATTGGAACTACTATTTCCTAAATATGATAGCATAAAAATTTATATATTATTTGACCAATAAAGCAGTGAATCTTATATAAAGACCGGTTAATTAAACTGTGTAATTGGCCAAATACGTGTGGATAGTGTTTGCCTCATCAGTGATCACTGGAGACCACAAACTTCGCAGAGATGAATGGATTACCTTGCTGATGATCATGCTTAAGATTTCAAAACCCAAGCAAACGGCATGTAAAGGGAAATGATCCCCAGCATCATTCCTCTCCAAAATTTTCTGCAGAAAACAGCACAATAAATTATCAAAACGACAGAAAAAAAATCTTATCCCAACAGAAGTTCATGGAAACACACTCATATAAACAGTTTAATTATTGCAGAGGAAGAAATAACCTTAAAAATCTTCTCAGCAACGGAATAGTATAAACCCTCTTTAGCCCACCCTCCAGTGAAGAGCACCCCGTTGACCAAATTGAGCTTCTGCAACATTTTAGTAACTACTTTAGCYCGATTATTCCCCGATATTCATTAGACAAAAATGGATAAACACAGTCTTTCATCAACTTTAAGGTCACTAATTCCATTACCTCGAAAAGAATTTCAAGCGGCTCGTTATAGATAAGAGGAATAACTCTTGCTCCGGCGGATTCGACGAACTTCACATACGAGGCAGCGATATAGGACGCATTCGTCGCATTGCTCAACCTTCCGGAGGCACCATCGCCGGGATGGCTAAGGATTCCGATCACCGGCTGGTAATTAAGCTTGGGATCCATTGCCGTACACGAGGGCGCAACAGCCGACGAGTCGAGACCAAACTGAGACGGCATGAGGATGTTCGGGAAGGGATGAACTGCATTGACGAGGCGAAATTCGTGGGTGAATAGGATCAGGAAGGAGACCCAGAAGTATTTGTAGACGGAAATCGAAGACGAAGAGAAAATCGAAGGGGAAGACGAGTGGAAGCTGCGGTCGGAATGTTCAGAAATGGTAGGCGCGAAGCCAACAACTTCTGGGAGCATTATGAAGAAGAAATGGCAAAGAACAGAAAAAAGTAGACGAAGGAGACGACGACAGCCATTGATGAGCTCCGAAGAGATTATTATATGTGCGAGGACTGTGAGCGACGCTGGTCAGTGGATGAAGAAAAAATCCCGTAAGGTATTGGTGGGCCCATGGCCGTTTTATCTACAAATATTTAGAAGAAATATAATATATATATATATATATATATATATATATATATCTTTTTTTAGTTTATGATAAATTTATATTTGATTCTCGAATTTAAAAAACGGATAGTTTGGTCATTTATCATTAGAGAACTTATTCTAAAGGATTAACTTTAAAAATCTTTTAGAACATTCTAAGGATCAAAGTGTCAATTTTTTAAACTTCAATACCAAATCTTTCAACAGCTGCTAAAGTTTATTTAATTATATATAGGTAGAAAAGATGGTAATTTTTAATCTGGATATATAGGTAGAGAAGATGGTAATTTTTAATTTTGAAAATAAATATAATATATATCCTCATCGTTTTTTCTTTTTCTTTGCATTCAAGTTTTATCCATCATGAAGTGAATAACTTCAGCTATTGGTACGGTGATTACTAAGATTCGTTTGATAATATTTATGTTGTTAATTTTATTGAAAACTTTAAGCATTTGGTAACCATTTATATGTATTGGTTAAAAGCATTGATAAAATTGTATAGAAAATTTTAGAACTAACGTAATGAAATTTTTTGTTTCTGGTTATAGTTTTTAACTTTTTCTAAAATATAAATAAAAATATTGTTTAACAATAATTAGCCAATATTATTGTGCTTTTTCTTTACTTCAAAATGAGAAATAAGAAACAATCAGGTGAGATTAAATGATGAGATTACCATGATTACAATTTTGTTTTTTACTTTAAGTTGCACAAGTATAATATAACAAAACTGAGTAACAAAAATGATAAAAAAAAATATATAGTAAGGATTTATGGGTCATCTGGTTCCTGGGGAAAAAAAATGAGAATGGAAGACAAAGAAATAAGGAAAGAAAAAAAAAAGGAAAATCTTTGGCTCTACATCCTTAAATATTTGAAAGAAATACAAAAAATTAATAAGTTGTCAAATATTTAATAGAAATAAGAATGAAGTTCCTTCTTTAACTTCAAGGAGCCAAGTTTCTTCTGAAAAAAAGTCGGATATTTGGAGAGTCAAGGTTGTTGTAAGGATATAATAATCTTTTAATTTTAAATAAATAAAAAGAAAAAAGAAAAAGAAAATATTGGTTTTGAACGGAGCACATGGTGTGGCCATATGACTTGGGTTTTGTTCAGTAGTTTACGATCCTCAGTTAGAATTTTTGTTTTTCGATTTACTAAATCAAATAGATTCAATAAATAGGCGTTTGGCATAATTTTTGAAATTCGTTGTTTAAAACTATTTTTGGATTCTGTGATCTAGCAAACAACTTTGATATGTTTTCAGTGTTTTCAGATTCAGAATTTGAAATTTTTAAGATACATAATTACATTAAAAAGATAAAAAGTCTAATATATTACTTCATACTATAAACTCATTTTATACTTGTTAAAGTTGAACATGTAAAATATAATGTATTCTAAATTATATAACCTTGTAAAATAATAATTATACAAAATTTTAATAAATTAATTAATATAAGTGTAGATTAAACTAAGATTTAGTTTCTAACTATATATCGTTAAAAAATAATTTTTTAAATTGAGATTCAATTATCAAGTCTGGTACCAAGCACATATCTGAAAAGACTGAAAATTATTTTCTGTTTTCTGATTATCAACCAAATGCACCCTTGATTTTGGGTGGTCTCAAAGTCATGATAAATGAAATCCAATTTTTACGTAAATAAAAATTTGTACCAAAATAGTCGAATTTTGCACCACTTCATACAATATGTATTTAACTTTATTATATTTTAATTTTTAATTAATAAATTTAGACTAAAAGTAAGGATGTTTATAGAGTGGGATAGGGTCGGGAGAAGAAGATTTAACCAACATTATCTTTAATGATCTAATCAAAACGAGAATAAGTCGCTAAAGCGAGCATAACTTATTGGTAATTAACATATATCTCCAATAAAGAGGTCGTGAGTTCATCATCATGTCAAATGTTGTACTAAAAAAAGAGAAGAAGTGACTCTAAAGTGGTTGAATAAGATATATAATAATGTATCTAAAGATTTCGATTTCGACTTTTTATTTTTTTTAGAGAGAGTAGTTCTTTTACTGATATTCCATTTTGAGAGTTTGTATCCTTATACATATATCCTCCCTATAGTTTTCTTTTGATTTTAAAGTACATTGACACAAAACATATCTCGAAATTGAACATGGACACGAAAAACGTGGTCGTTTCGACAAATAAAAAGTAGTTGGAATTTCTCATTTTTTATTTAGGATCATAAGAATACAACATTGTTTCTCAAACACATGAAAATTCCAAATAAGATCAAAGGGGCTGCAACCCATCTACTCAAAGTCAAAGATGTAAACTTGATCATATCCCTTCATGCATTCACATGAAAGGGAAAAATAAAATATCAAAAAACACTTTTGGTCTCTAAGACAATTTAGTTTCTAAACTTTAGTTTGTAATGAATTAGTCTCTGTACTTTCATTGATAACTAGTCGTTGAACTTTAATATGTAACAATTTAGTTATTGTAGTTTAAAGTTGGTAACTTATCGTAAAATTTTATAAAATGGGTCTAAATATGTTTATAATTACAAAGATTATATATATATTTTTTTGAGAAAAAGATTAAATTATTATACAATAAAATTTAACGCTTGATTTTAATAAAATTTTTTACAATAGGGACTAAATTGTTACAAATTTTAAATAACAGGACTAAATCATTACAAGTTAAAATTTAAAAACTAAATTGTTACTTGAGTGAAAGTATATGGACTAAGTCGTTACAAATTAAAATTTAAAGATTAGATTGTTACTTTAGTAAAAGTAGTGTTTTTTAATCTAAATAAAAAGAAACTAAGGAAAAGAAAGGTGCAAGGTTAAAAGAGTGAATTTGGAATTACCCAGCCTTGCCACCGTAAAGTGGGCTGTAATTGTAGATGAGTTTCTCAAGAAGCTTTTGGGCAGGTGGTTCGTTTGTTGACTTCCTCGCCTCACTGCAACATAAAGTATTGATTTTTTTTTTTTTATTTTGATAGAAAATGTCGAGAACTCAATTTTATAAAAACATCGATGAATGATATCGATGAAGGTTATAAAAATAAAAAATTCGTAAAAAAAATATTTAATTTTTCTAACCTGACCAAGTGGTTGGCAATGCTTTGTGTCAATTCAATGGCATACGAAGTGTGTGGGATCGTGGAGATACCCCATTCAAATGCATTTTTCTGCAATGTCACTCGAGATTTTTGTTAAATTTGCATATGTATATTTTTAGGGCAAAAACGAAATAGGAAAAAAATTGGACAGATTTAGATTTTATGTAATAGTAGGGCTTTTGTTTTTATTTTTGTTTTTTGGATACGACAGTATATTCAACGGATGAATTAATTACCTCGGGATTCCATTGAAATATAGTCACGGGGTAATTTCGAGCATTTGCAGTAGAAACATAGACCTGTTGACAAAGGCACCACCACAAGAGTAACTAAAAGATTATAAAGGTGAAAAAATTTACGGATTTGTTCGACGTTTTTTTCTTCTCTGATACAATATGTGAGGATGGAAATTCGAAGTCACGACTTTTTAGTGGGAGATAGATTCCTTAATCCGGTGAGTTACGTTCGGAATTGATCAAGACCATGTTTCTTAAAATAAAGTGTTTTGCCAATTTGAACGTAATTTAAATCTCTTGGTTGAACTTTATTAAAAAGAGAGCACTTGTTGCAACGATGATTACATTGTTTAATGTTGATAAGACAATTAATATGTCTATTTTTTTATTCACTTTTTAAGAAATATTTTTTGTTCTTCAAGTTGTGGCTAAACTAAAAAAAACCCTATTTTTCTATTAAAAAAAAGTTAGATTTAAAAATGTTTTTAAATATGGAAATTATCATGGACGGTAAATTAGGTCGTCATATTTTACAAAATTACTGGACAGTAAAATGATTGGTAAATACAACAATTTTGTCTACTATATATTAGTAAGATACGATTTTTATATTGATTGATAAAGTATATCAATGATATATCTAATATAAAATACGATACAATACACTTTTGATCTCTGGAGTTTGAGACGATCTTTAAAATGTAAAACTTGACACTTTAATGGATTCTAAATAGCCATTTTTAGTTCAATAATTTGTAAGAGTGGAGACACGAATTTCCAACCCTTCGATCGATGATATATGATATGTTGAAGTTGGTTGTTCTAAATCGCCATTCAACTCAAATTTCCAAATATCAGTTGTTAGCATACTCAAACGACAATTTTATGTCATCCAGAAACTTTGTAAACTAGTTTTCATTTTATATAATTTTTAAGATTGTTGAAGTTTAATTTTCAAAACTTAATGGAGAAAAATGTTAGAATTATTTACCCTCTGATTCTTGTCAGTGGTAGTTGTCAATACTTGGAAGAAGCTGGATAAACCTTCATTTTCTCCAAATGTTTGAGGCGAGATTCCATACTGTATATATACAACAGAAACAAAGATAATAAATTCGATTTGGAAAATAATTATTCCAAAAATATTTGAAGGAATATATATATATATATAATTTTTTTTTTCAAATTTCAAAGAACTTACACGATGGTCTTGCCAGGCAATGCAATCTTGGGTCAACCTCTTACGCAAATAAAGTGGAATTCTACATGTCAACAACAATACAAATTCAAAACTTTAATTGTATTTTTTATAAGTGTTTTGGGTCTTAATATTTATGAATTACTCCACTTAAAAGAATATATTTTCGAACTTTGAATGTTAAATAATTGCATACCTTTGTATGACCGTTCCTTGAATGTTTGCATTGTCGTTAAATTGTAGAGTAGATGGAGAGCGTGTTGCATTAAATTGTTCAATAATGCTATCGTTCTATAAATAGAAGCAAAATATAATAATTTGAGAATGAAAAAAGCATAAATAAAAGCCTGAATCAGTCCAATCATGCGTTATGTGGTGAGGAGAGGGCAAACTAGAAAAAGAATAAAAGTAGATTTTTGTTATATTTTTAATTTACTTCATTAAGGTTATATAGTTTCAAAAGTGTTTAAAGAAAGTTCCAAAAGTATTTTGGGTAAAATAAAGGTAAATCAGGTTTTTAGATGGATGATTTTGGATCTAGGATGTTTGATACTATTTTTGTTTTCAAAATGCTTTTAAAACTAAATTAACAAAATAAGTAATTTTCGAAAACTTGTTTTTATTTAATATGCAAAATCAGGTCTTTAGAAAAATAATCATTGTTTTTACATCAATATCTATCTTCATGCTAATCACCCATAAAAGTTTGACGGTTTTTTAATTTTTTTTAATATATATGTCTATATATATTTTCCTCTAGTAAAAAATTTAAGAGAAATTATACTAAATAGCATAAAATAAATATATATTTAAAAAAATATCATTACCGGTTTTTTTTTTAAATGACAAAAAGATAGTTTTTGGTTTGTCGCATATAAATTATACAAGTTTACAATTTACTTTTATATCTTCTTTATAATTGTCTCAAAATTCAACTACAGTAAGTAAAAGATAAATGTAGACGAGTAAGCACTTAAGTATTTTTATCCCGAGAAACCCGAAATTTGGGAAGGAAAAATGAAAGACTGATCACTTACCTTGCTGACCATTGTGCTTATGATCTGAAATCCCAAGGAAATGCCATATAAAGGAACGTGATCCCCAGCATCATTCCTCCTCAAAACTTTCTGCACCAAAAACAACCCTAAGAGAGAGAGGAAAAAAAAAGCAAAAAAAAAARAAAGAAAGAGATTATGAAATATTACCTGAAAAATTTTCTCAGCCACTGAATAGTATTCCCCTGTTCTAGCCCTTCCTCCTGTGAAGATCACTCCATTCACCGAATTTACCTTCTGCATTGGTTACAAAAATGTCTTATACCAGTAGAGATATGATTCCAATTCTATTTTTTATTTTTACAGTATAACATATGAGAGAGGAATTCGATCTCCGTCGACTATTATTCTGATTATATTAAACCTGTGTTATATTAATAGAGATATTATCTTTATTTACGGTATTTCATGTTGGTGTCTGTCGGAGATTTGTCATTGTGAATATGAATCAAGTTCAACGGTTGGAGATTCAAATCCCTCAGAAAAGGTATAATTGTCCATATAAATTGAGGTCGGAGGTTCAAATCCTGTGAATTTCTTTATTTTATAAAATAAAATAAAACAAAAAGAGAACCATTTAAGGATTATAATTTTAAGATTTTGGGTGAGCGGGGCGGGTTATTTTATTTACCTCTTCAAGAACTTCAGGCGGGTCGTTATAGATGAGAGGAATAACTCTGGCTCCGGCGGATTCCACAAATTTCACGTACGACGCCGGAATATACGACGCGGTGGTGGAATTGCTGAGTCTACCGGAGGCGCCGTCGCCGGGATGGCTGAGGATTCCGATCACCGGCCGGTAGAACAGCAACGGGCTTACTTTGGTGCAGGTACGCAATTTGAGGCCATTCTCGATTCCGGAATCGGAGGGCAAGAGGATGTTGGAGTCAGAGAGAGGGCGTTTGGTTGCCCTAACGAGGGAGGAGGAAATCAGGAGGGAGACGCAGAGGAATTTGAAGACGGCAATGGCGGCCGAGCCGCCATTGGAGGGCTGAGAAAGGGCTGAATTCCGCATTGTGAGATGAAAACAGAGGAGGAGGATGAAGATGAAGATGGAGGAAGCGATTGTTGAAATTTATAGGCGATCGATTGAATACGTAGCTCGATAATTGAATCGGTGATAATGGCGAAGAAATTGCTTTCGACTGTAGTGATCTGCAGCGTCTTCTTCTTCCTCCTCTCGACCATCATCCGCCGAAGGCCCCACTGTACTGATTTTCTCATGCCCAATCCTGACACAGAATACGATGTCGTTTAATGGTCAGCGGGCCGTACTCGTGGTCCGTGGGCCTCTATGTGTTGTCCGGCCCATATTGTGGGCCCACAATAATATCAAAACGTGCTTCGATTTTTTTCCCCTTCTTTGAAATTTGCTGTGGCTTGTCAGCAGTCAGCACTATCAAACAAAATAGTGAAAATTTATTCAGGGTGAGGGTAGGTCCGTCATTTTCACCTTACAATTGGATTTAAATTATATTTCATTTTTGTAAAATGTCTAACGATTTCAGACTCCCAAGATCAAATTGTTATGCTTAATATATCAGTCTCATTCGTTCAGGACCTTTTATTAGTTAGTCCGATAAAGCTCCTAGACCTATTAATTGTTTGGGTATCGACTCGGAAAGAATTGATTCCGAGCTTATTGATAATCCGTGATCAACTTTCTTTCATCGTATCCTACTTAAGTGGAATTATTTGAATCCATATTGCCTCATTGAAAGAGATGTCTTGGACCACTAGACAATGAGAGAGTTAAAATATGCATAGACTTCGAGATTCCCAAATAGGTTAACCTTTCAAATTGCCGTCGAATCCATGGTTTGACGAGAAACAATTTTGCGAACTAAAATATATTAGTAATCAACTGATTTTTTGAAAAAAAGAAAAGAAAATTTTGGGCTTTTTTAATATTTTATTTTATGCTATTATTGTCTCACTTAATATTGGATAGTGAGTTTTATAATTTTATTCTCAATTCGACAAGTTTATACAGGGAACATGGATTCGATCTTCTAATATTTTTGTCAGGTTATAATACCAACTTGTTGTTATGTCTAGGTTGACAATCAATTTCATATCTTGAATATGTGATATTTGTTTTTATAGTCTTATATTCTTTCTCTATCTTTATCGTCCTCAGTTTTATTATCTCTTTTATTATGGCTATTCCTTTATTTTTTTTGGTACAATTATTTTTTAATGACACAGTAGTAATTACTCTTGAAGATAAGATTGGAAACCACAAGCTTATAAAAACAATTCAAGCTTATTGGTAATCTGTAATCAACTTCCTTTCATAATATCCGATCTTATGGGAATTAGTTGAATCCCCGCTACCTCCTTGAGAGAGATGTCTCACACCACTAGATGGTGGGGGTTGAAAGTAAAAGCGTAAATCTACGGAGATTTTCAAATAGGTCAACCTTTCAAGCTGATGTTAAAAATTTTGAATCTATGGGAACGGGCAAGATACAACTTGGTGAACTGAAACATTTTAGCAACTCGAGTATGATTTTTGTGAAGAAAACAAATTGAGCTATTTAATCATTGAACTTCTTTAAATAATAATAATATTTTAGTTATTATTCTTATTTTCTCACTTAATTTTGGATAGTTGGTTTCATTGTTTTTTTTGGTTCAACAAATTTTTGTATGGAAATGGGATTCGATGCTATAATCTTTTTTAATCGAAGTTATAACACCTTAATTGATTATGCTATATTCATATGTTCACAAACAACTTCATATATGGAATGCCTTTTAATCTTTTATAGGCCTTCTTTTTGCTACTTCTCTCTTCATTAATTTGTACTCAATTTTCTTCTCTCTCTCTTCTATTATGGCTATTAATTTACTTTTTTGTACGATTATATTGTATTGTCCCAAGAAGTATAACCCTACTCTGATCTTTCTTCCCAACTTAAATATTCAGGGTAGGTTTGTCCTTCCAGCCTTAATATTGAGTTTGAATTTTATTTAATATTTTTTTTGGTTATATAACGATTTCAAAACGGACTCCCACCTATTAGATAGAGAAGATTGCCAAGATTTCGTGATCCGCTGCTGAATTTTTCAAGAACAAAGAAAGAAAAATTGTTATGTTTAATATATTAATTTCATCTATGGGACATTTTACTAGTTAGTGTGATAAAGCACTTAGGCCTATTAACCATTTGGGCATCGACTCAGAAAGAATTAGTTTCGAGCTTATTGATAATCAATGATCAACTAATTACTTTTCTTAGTATCCTATCCAAGGGAATTAATTGAATCCTCCTTGCCTCCTTGAAAAAGAGATATTCTGAACCACTAGATGACGTGGAGGGTTAGT